GTAGCTCCCCGAAGCTGGTCAAGCAGGTCATCGATTCGCGGTATTGGATATTTATTCTTGATGGTCTGCTTGTTAAGAGCTCGGTAATCAATGCACATGCGCAGGCTTCCGTCCGGTTTCGGTGTGAAGAGTACTGGGGCACCGTATGGCGAAGTGGATGGTCGGATGAGTCATTTGGCTAGGAGATACTAGATCTGTTTCTTCATGTCGGTCAGCTCGGTAGGGCTGAGCCGATATGGTGCTCGGAAGGTCGGTTTCGAGCCTGGTTCCTCCAAGATCTCGTGTTGATGCGTTCTGTATGGCGGTAGCTCGTTCGGAAGATAGTCAGGGAGAATGTCTTGGAACTCCTTCAGTAATTCCTTGATTTTTCCTGGAGGTTCCGTCCATTGTTGTAGATGCTTGCGGTGCGGTTCACCCAGTTGATATCGGAGTTGAATCGTTTTAAGAAGTCTCGCCCGAAGATCAAGTCAAGCCCTTTGATGTTGGTGATGGGGAGTGCAAGTCTCCAGTGCAGTGGTCCAATTTGTAGGTGTAAAACTGCTTCGCCGTGTACTGGAAACTTGCTGCCGTCCACCATCGTTGCAGAGAATCCTGAAGGCTTGTACTCTTCTCGAAGTCGGTCGATTACTGCCTTGTCACAGACGGTGTGCGATGCTCCGCTGTCCACGAGTGCTTGGAGGCGCCGTCCTTTGCAGATGACCTCGAGCACGAGCGGCGGGCGTTGCTCGGAGTACCCAAAGATAGTTTCATTAATCGGGTCATAGGGTACATCCCAAAACACCTTTTCATTACTATCTCCTCCTGAGCAGGCAGCTGGCCGAGGCTGCTTGGAGAACGGCTCTTCTCCAGGGCCCGGAGTTTCCTTGACGACTGTGCGTGTCGTTGATGCCGAATAATTGGATGCATCCGGAGGAGGAGTTCGGGGTTTCTGCAGCTTTTTGTAGACCCCCAGCTTTCTTTTGAGCTGCTTCAGCTCCACCGACGTCTTCCCTGGGGAACGGGTAGTCGTTGTGGGCTGGTTTCGGGAGAGGACGTTGACTCCGTGGAAAGGTCGGCTTCTTTCCACACTCCTTAATTTCTTCCCCAAATTGTCCGGTACCGGTATAATCTCCAAAGCTGTCTGCTTCTTTTGGAGTCCTTCCCGAATTTTCTCCAAGGCTCTAGCCCCTCGAGAATCATAAGTTTTCATTAAACCATCTTTATCAGATAGCTTTAACGAGTCCTTATAATTTCTTGGGTCTTCAAGGAGTTTCCCCGTAGGCTTGAGCAAAATACCCGGCCGGGTCGGGTACCCGGGACCCGGATCCGCTTTTTGGGCGGGTCGGGTATCGAGATTCCGGATTATTACCCGGCAGGTCGGGTCCGGGTTACCCGGGCGGGTATTCGATACCCGTTACCCAAAACGCTACCCGACGTGGCGGGTAACGGGTACCCGACCCGGTCGGGTAAATAATACCCGAGGTCGGGTATTCCATTTAGACATGGGCGTAAGTCGCCCTGTGATTTAGGTTTTGCGGGAAAACGAAATGGGAGGTGAGGGGGGACGAGTGGAGCATTTGTGAGGAGAAGTTGGAGTTTGTAGATGGGGAGGAGTTAAGTGCGGTGAAAGGGAGAGAGTTGGGTGAGGTTGGAGAAAAGGTTGGAGTTTGTAGATGGGTAGGAGTTCAGTGCGGTGAAAGGGAGGGAGTTGGGTTGGAAATGTTGGAGTTTGTAGACAGGGAGGAGTTCAGTGCGGTGAAAGGGAGGGAGTTTGGCTGGAAATTGGAGTTTGTAGACGGGGAGGAGTTCAGTGCGGTGAAAGGGAGGGAGTTGGGTGGTCAAAATTCGACCCCCAGAAAACATGACTCTCATTTGAGAATCGCGTTTTGAGAAACCCTACCTAGCCTAGCGTGTTTTTAGAACGCCCACTAGTAGGTGGCGGGTACTAATACCCGTTTTTCAGGATAACCGGGTCGGGTATACCCGGACCCGCCACGCGGGTATTGTATTACCCGTTCCCTAAGGCCGGATCCGGGTAAGGGTCCTGGGCATATTACCCGACCCGGACCCGACCTGAAAATACCAGACCCGAGGTCGGGTATAGCAAAACCGGGTCGGGTCGGCTAATTACCCGGTTTTGCTCAACCCTATTTCCCTGTCTCGGCAGAGTCTTTTTTCGCGGAGTCGGATTTTTTCTCGGCGATTTTCCCTGGCGAAGACTGGTCGTGAGGTGGAGATTTTCCCCCATCATTTCCTCCTCGCGTCGAATCAGCTTCGTCGAAGTTGATTTTCTCGGAATCCCGCGGCCGCTTCCGGATCTTTTTATTTTCGCCAGCTAGATCCGCAATCACTGGCGGCTCCCTTTTTTGTCTTCTGATTGGCCGAATTAATTCCGCCACTGTTGCGTGCCCAATACTCTGCGCGTGCGGCCTTCATTTTATTGCAGTCAAAGATTCGATGACCCGGCACCCCGCAAAAATCACACGTGTAGTTGGTGTTTTTCGGACGTGGCCGCCAGTCGAACCTATCGATTTCCATCGGGTCGGCGAACGTGGTGTGAGCCGAGCGGTCGCCCTGTCGCGTACTGCCGACGTGCGTCCGTCGTGTCCCGGCATTGACCATGTCGAAGCGCTCCGCGGCCGAAATGATGTCACTGTAGCTCGCGTAGTTTGACGCTGCCACTTGTCGTTTGACTTCGGTCTTCAACTCGGCGAGGTATGACTGTACTTTTTCCCCTTCGGTCAGGTCGGGAATTTGGTTATAAAATTCTTCCATCTGCTGCGTGAACTGTGCTACACTCCCGAACTGTCGATGTCGATGAATTTTTTCCCGGGCAAGAAACCCCGAATTTATCGGCTCGAATCGTTTCAGCAGGTCGGTGCGGAACTGCTGCCACGTGGCTTCACCGTGGATGAAGGTACTGTTGCCGCCAATCCACTCGAGTGCCGGCCCTCGCATCAGTGTCGCCGCGAGTCGTACGCGTTGACCGTCCCAGACTGGCGAGCTCCATCCGACGGCTGCGAAGTAGATCTCCATCCCGGCGATCCATCTGCGGGCGTCGGAGTTTCGATCGCTCGGATCGAACGGCTCAGATGGGCGCGGTTTCGGAGCCTCGAGAAACTGCTGCGACTGCTGCGTCGTTGCCGTTGTCGAGTCGTGCTGCGCTCCGGCGAGTCGAGTTACTCGCTCGAACTCGTTTCGCCATGCTTCGCGATCCGCTCGCAGCTCCTCCTGAAGAGCGGCGATGCGCGCGAAGAGTTGTTGGGTAACCTCGGCGTTGTCGAAGGTCGCCATCTTGTTCAAAACACGCGCGGGGGGGGTAATTCACAAAACGAGGAGCTGGTGCTTACTAGAATCGGCGTCGAATTCGTCGCCCCCTGCGGTTTTTCGAGGCAGGTTTTCCCGCTGCTGCTGCTTTGTTGAGCGCGGCCGAGTGAGAAAAGCTCTGATACCAAGTGTCACAGGATCGAATGACTCGAGGAAAGATTGCACTATCGATTGATACAAGGCGCTTTTATACTTCGAGAGTACATCAGGTAACCAGGTTTATCATATCCAAAGGGATTAGACCCTTCTAGAATCTAGAATCACCCTGCGTATAGCCACGCGAGGCGATTGGCTTTAAGGGATTACGGCAAGATTACGCTAGATATAGCGCGCCAATACATCCCAAGCCTGGTCGATGATATAATTATAATAGCAGGATAAACCAAAAGTTAATGGAAAATGGAGAACAGGAAACGAAATAAGATGAGAGAAAAAGAAAAATGAAATAGAAAGGAAAGAGGGAAAGGCCAAGTAGTGTAACGGGGCCGTACTCTCACAAAGCCCCTGGATGATATCGTCAATCATCTCCTTCTCCGACTCCGCCGCTCCCATCGCCCTCAAATTGTCGTTGTAAATCTTTTTGGCCTATTCACATATTCGATGATGCGCTCACCCGTCCCCATGCTCAGCAGCAGTAGCTGCTTCCTCACTGCTGATTTGCCAGCATCTGTTACTCCCATGTACATAGACTCCATGTACTCCCAAGCCAGCTGCGCAAAGTTCAGCTCCCCTGCGAGTCGTCCAGCCCCACAGCAATGACGTCCGCCACTGAATGACACAGTTGGAAGAAGGCTTGCTTGCTCCGCTTCTTGTTCGCTGCAATTTTCTCGGGCTCCTCCGTCGCAGGTGGAGGAACGAGTTCGTTTTTTTTATTGTCAGGGGGTAGAGCGACCGCAGCCCAACTTCCTCAGCGCGTCGAATGAATTTCAGCCGCCTCATTGTGTAATTCCTCCCACTCAAGCGTTGGGCTTCGCTCAGCCCAATCGTCGGCTTCGCCACCAGATGCCCCTTTGCAAGGGCCTCGAGAAGAGCCTGCACATGCGAGTCTTCCATGTTCGTCGAGGAACCCGACTGCACCTCGCTACTCGTCGTCCTATTTCCACCGTTCTTCCCTAGTGCACCGCCATCGCACCGTCACTTCTTCCGAATTCCCACTGATATTCCTCAATCACCGTCATACTCCTCCATCTCTTTCGGTTTCTTGCATATTTCCCCGCTATGAGATTTGGACGGAAATGGGGAACGACAAGACGGGATGGCTTTCAAACACGTCCGGAGCAGGCTGGGGTATGGGCGAAAAAGAATGCGCGAAAAAACATTGTGACGTCGCGGATTCGCGGAAAAATATTTATCTCCTGTGCGCCCTATCTTCAGCTTTCAACTAGACTGTAAGGCAGGAAAGAACCTCACCTTGGCACACAAAAGCACCGCATTCACGGGGAATCTCTGCCCTCACCTATGCGCCCTGTCTTTGATCATCCAGCTTGTTGCACTGTCTTATTACGCAAGGAGGCAGCCTCACCTTGGCACAGAAGACCACGACATTCACAGGGAACTGCTGCCCTCTCCTGTGCGCTCTGTCTTCCCCCTGCAGCAGATCAGCTGCCGCCCTTGGGATCTCCGCAAACACAATTGTGACATCCTTGGTTTAGGGTTGAGGGTTGCGGATTTAGGGTTGCAGGAAGCAGCCTCACCTTAGCACAGAAGACCACCACATTCACAGGGAATCTCTGCCCTCTCCGATGGGCTCTGTCCTCCCCCTGCAGCAGGTCAGCTGCCGCCCTCGGGATCTCCGCAAACACAATCGTCTGTGCCGCACTAAAGTCCAAGCCCACGCCGCCCGCCGTCACGCCCACTATGGCCACCCGGACCTGAGGCTCGGTGACGAACCTCTTGACAGCCTCGGCCCTCTCCAGAGGAGGCGTAGTGCCATCCACCCGAACCAGCTCAAACTGCATTGCCGCTTTGGCAGGCTTGGCAGGTTCCGTAGGCTTGGCAGATTCAGTAGGCTTGGCCAACTTGGTAAAGTTGGTAGTGTTGTCAGACCCCCTTTCCCTCCCCTCTGAGTTCCCATCTGCACTCCCTTCCTCTGCTCCCTCCTCCTCTCCCTCACCTTCTCCCCCTGCTATCCGACTCCCCTCCTCCCCCTCAGCCCCACTCCCCAGAATGCTCGCAGCGGCAATGCGGTACACAGCAGCCTGCAGTGCATCCATCACCACGTGATGATGGGCGAATATCACCATCTTCTCAACCATCCGCCCATTTATCTTCCCCCCCTTCCTCTCTTTCCTCTCACTCCTCTGCCCTGCTCCCTCCTCCTCTCCTGCCTCCCCTCCTCCTGCCTCCCCCTCTCCTGCCTCCCCCTCTCCTCCCTCCTCCTCCCCGCCCTTCCCTCCCTCCTCACTCCCCTCCACCCCCCGCAGCACAGGGCAGTGACTCAGCCATTCTTCCACCCCTCTCATCTTCGCCAGTCCAAGCTCCTCCGGGCTTAAACCCCCAACGCCCACCTTCCCCCCTCTCCGTCCCTCCCGCCCCACTCCACCCTGCCTTCTCCTCTTCGCCCTACCAGCACTTACCCTCCCTCTTCTGGCCCTTAAGGCCCTCTTCCCATCCGTTGCACCGCCACTCACAGACCCCGGCGCTGTGCTGAGGCCACCCCCACCACCCTCACTGCTCATGGGAGGGGGACCAACGGTCGCTGCTCCAGCAGTAGTGGCAGCTTGAGCTGAATCTCGCCCACTCTTCCCCTTGCTCCTTCTCACATGCATACCCTCGCCTGCGGCCTGCATCCTAGATTTTCCTTGCCGGTTACCCGCCTTACAAGTCTCAATCCTGGGCTCACTGCTCCTTTCCGCATCCGACTCCTTGTTGCCACATTCACCCATTCTTTTCTCTTCCTCCAGCTCCTTTTCTTCGTCCCCATCATCACCGTCATCATCATCATCTTCCCTTCCCTCCTCCCGTCCTCCTCTAACTTCTACTCCCTCTCCCGTCTCCTCTCCTCCTTCCTCGTCTTCCCCCTCCCCTCCCTCCTCCCCCTCGGCTCCATCATCCTCAGACCGTTCATTTGCATCCGCCACAGCATCTCCCCCTGACAGCTCAGCAACTCTCTGGACCGCAAGTGCCACGTCAACTGGCTCCAGGCGCAGCCTGATGACCTGGCGGCGCTTAGGTGGCAGCTGGAGTACCACCTCAGACTTGAGCCGCCGAATCTGTGGGGGCACACAGAAACACGCATGCATACATGCAATCACCCGTCCACACACGTGCACAGAAACGCACACAAACCCAGAAACATGAGACTGCAACCTTCAAACGAATGGGACCGCATGCACAAGAGAGATTTGAGAATTCTCAAACACAACATGCAGAGAGATTTGAGAACTCTCAAACACAACATGCACAAGAGAGATATGAGAATTCTCAAACACAACATGCACAAGAGAGATTTGAGAATTCTCAGAAACAACATGCACAAGAGAGATTTGAGAATTCTAAAAAACAACATGCACAAGAGAGATTTGAGAATTCTCAAACACAACATGCACAAGAGAGATTTGAGAATTCTCAAACACAACATGCACAAGAGAGATTTTATAATTCTCAAACGCAACATGCACAAGAGAGATTTTAGAATTCTCAAACACAACATGCACAAGAGAGATGTGAGAATTCTCAAACACAACATGCACAAGAGAGATGTGAGAATTCTCAAACACAACATGCACAAGAGAGATGTGAGAATTCTCAAACACAACATGCACAAGAGAGATGTGAGAATTCTCAAACACAACATGCACAAGAGAGATGTGAGAATTCTCAAACACAGCATGCACAAGAGATCAGCGAATGGACAACGACACCCACCAGTTTGTGATAGCGGGGTGTGCACCTTGCGAAGGTGAGAGGGAGACAGAATCACCACAAGAAGAGAAAGAATGATAGAGTCTACTTTTGAGGCGCCTCAGAAAGGAAATAAATGACAGGGACAAACAAAGGCTACCCACCATGACGGTGTGCGACAGCAGGATGTGCAGCTCTCGGAGGCGAGACAGAGTTGTTTGAGGGAGGGAGGGGGGAAGAAGCTTGAGTGGGTCACCCACCATGACGGTGTGTGACAGTAGGATGTGCAGCTCGCGAAGGCGAATACCCCTCGAAAAGTCCTTGCTGTCCCTCTCCCTGTCGCAGTAGTTTCGGGCAAACTCGTACTTGGACATGCCGAGCAACCCGGGCCTGAAGCAACAGGGGAGTCAGGGGAGAGGGGAGGACAGTTGGTGGGCTGGGCAGTTCTTGCTGTCCCTCTCCCTGTCGCAGTAGTTGCGGGCGAACTCGTACTTTGACATGCCGAGCAAGCCGGGCCTAGACGAACAAGCGAGTGGGAAAGAGAGGGATATGCTCAAGAGGGAGGGTAAGTGCAAACAGACAAGAGGGTGGCAAGTGCAGCCGACAGAATAAGCAAACAACGAAAGAGAGGGAGATTGGATGGTTAAACAAGAAAGAGGCATGTGCTAGCACATATGGACAAACATCGCTCACAAGAGGCTTTCGTTTTGAGACGTCACAAATTTACACTTCTATCAAGAGGGTTGCGGCTAGCAGAGATGGAGGAGCGCTGCGTACCAGAGGCTGTCGGCCCGATCTCATTGAGGATGTCAAAAGGGAGGTCAATAGAGACAGACCCCAAACAGATGTGCAGATACACACACCTAGGCCAAGTAGAGAGGCCACGCAACAAGCCCGAGCACACAGGGAGGAGAAGTACTTATCTCAAGCTCCCTTCCACAGGCTGAGATAAGCGAGGAGGTTATCTCAAGCTCCCTTCCCCATAAGTACTTCCCTATAAGTCAAACCTTTTGAAGTACTTACCATAGGCTGTCGACCAGGTTGAATGAACACATCAAACGGCCTGCGGAGAGAACGACCATAGACACACGGACAGAGCCCAAGCAGGCACCAACAGAACCAAGCCCAAGTATCTGTTTTAAGCTACCTGCACAACTTACCAGAGGCTGTCGACCAGGTTGAACATGTCAAACGGCCTGTAGAGCCACACACAGATGGGGATAGGAAAGTGGTGCTGATGGAGGCAGTAGGAAGGGAGGGAGGGCAAGAAAAGAAAGGAAAAACAGGAGCAGGAGGGACAAGGGCACAAGGACGCAAACAGGAACAACATGGGGACGAGAGACGGACCGGACACGAGGAGCAGGAGGGACATGGGGACATGGATCAAGTCTGTGGTTGCTGTTCGACATGCCTGGAGAGGGAGGGAGTGCCGGTGAGCAGGATGGGCCGCTACCTTACTTTTCTATTTCTACAGTTGGTGCTCAAAGTCCCGCCCAAGTGGTGCTCTGAATAACAGTGAACGGACTTGCCTGGAGAGGGACGGAGTGCCGGTGAGCAGGATGGCACGCTTGGTGCGCCGAATGACATCCACCACCACTCGAGTCTGGGTCGTGTGGGAAAAGAGGAGGGGCGGGGGGGGGGGAGAGATCTGTTGAGTCGACCCAGAAGTGAAAAGGCTGGCTCCCGTGGTGCGCCAAATGACATCCACCACCACTCACTTCTGGGCCGTGTTGGAACAGAGAGGGTCAGGGGGGATTTGGAGAGTCAGGGGGGACACTCGACGCGGTGGGCCGCATTGGTGCGTCGAGTTACCGACAAGTCCACTCAAAAGCGAGCAGGATGGCTAACTTGGTGCTGCGAATGACATCCACCACCACTCGAGTCTGGGACAGGTGGGAAAAGAGAGGGTCAGCGAGGGTTGGAGAGGACAACCAACGAGCTGCCCCGCATTGGTGCGTAGAATGATTGTCAAGTTTACTCAAAAGTGAGCAGGACGGCCCGCTTGAGTCTGGGGCGGGCGGGAAAAGTAGAGGGAGAGGGGGAAGGGGCGCAGTGGACGTTCTTGGGGGTTGGCCGATCTTGGGCGTTGGGCGATCTTGGACGTTGGACGATCTTGGGCGTTGGGCGATTTTGGGGGTTGGGCGATCTTGGGCGTTGGGCGATCTTGGGCGTTGGGCGATCTTGGGCGTGGGGCGATCTTGGGCGTTGGGCGATCTTGCCTGTTGGGCGATCTTGCGTGTTGGGCGATCTTGCGCATTGGGCGATCTTGGGCGTTGGGCGATCTAGGGCGTTGGGCGGTCTTGGGCGTTGGGCAATCTTGGGAGTTGGGCAATCTTGGGCGTTGGGCGATCTTGGGGGTTGGGCGATCTTGGGCAATCTTGGGCGTTCGGCGATCTTGCGCGTTGGGCGATCTTGGGCGTTGGGCGATCTTTTGCATTGGCCAATCTTGCGCATTGGGCGATCTTGGGAGTTGGGCGATGAAAGGCGTTGGGCGATGTTGGTTGTTGGGCGATCTTGCGCGTTGGGCGATCTTGCGCGTTGGGCTATCTTGGGGGTTGGGCGATCTTGGGCGTTGGGCGATCTTGGACGTTGGGCGATCTTGGGCGTTGGACGAACTTGGGGGTCGGGCAAACTTGGGGGTTGGACGATCTTGGGCGTTGGGCGAATTGGGGGTTGGGCGATCTTGGGCGATCTTGGGCGTTGGGCGATCTTGGGCTTTGGGCGATCTTGTGCATTGGGCGATCTTGGGCGTTGGGCGACGTAAGGCGTTGGGCCATCTTGGGCGTTGGGCGATCGTGCGCGTTGGGCGATCTTGCGCGTTGGGCGATCTTGGGGGTTGGGCAATCTTGGGCGTTGGGCTGTCTTGGGCGTTGGGCGACCTTGGGCATTGGGCGATCTTGGCAGTTGGGCGATCTTGGAGGTGGGCGATCTTGGGGGTTGGGCTATCTTGGGGATTGGGCGATCTTGGGGGTTGGGAGATGCAAGGCGTTGGGCGATCTTGGGAGTTGGGCGATCTTGGGCATTGGGCGATCTTGGGCGTCGGGCGCTCTTGGGCATTGGGCGATATTGGGCGTTAGGCGATCTTGGGCATTGGGCGATCTTGGGCGTTGGGCGGTCTTGGGCTTTGGGCAATCTTGGGCGTTGGGCAATCTTGGGGGTTGGGTGATCTTGGGCGTTGAGCGATCTTGCGCGCTGGGCGATCTTGGGCGTTGGGCGATCTTGGGCGTTAGGCGATCTTGGGCATTGGGCGATCTTGGGCGTTGGGCGGTCTTGGGCGTTGGGCAATCTTGGGCGTTGGGCAATCTTGGGCGTTGGGCGATCGTGCGCGTTGGGCGATCTTGCGCGTTGGGCGATCTTGGGGGTTGGGCGATCTTCGGCGTTGGGCAATCTTGGGCGTTGGACGATCTTGGGGGTTGGGCGATCTTGGGGGTTGCGCGATCTTGCGCGTTGGGCAATCTTGGGCGTTGGGCGATCTTGCGCATTGGGCGATCGTGCGCGATGGGCGATCTTGGGCGTTGGATGATCTTGGGCACTGGGCGATCTTGGGCGTTGGGCGACCTTGGGCACTGGCGATCTTGGCGGTTGGGCGATCTTGGGGGTTGGGCGATTTTGGGCGTTGGGCGATCTTGGGGGTTGGGCGTTCTTGGGGGTTGGGCGATCTTGGGGGTTGGGCGATCTTGGGGGTTGGGCAATCTTGGGCGTTGGGCGATCTTGGGCGTTGGGCTGTCTTGGGCATTGGGCGACCTTGGGCATTGGGCGCTCTTGGCGGTTGGGCGATCTTGGAGGTGGGCGATCTTGGGGGTTGGGCTATCTTGGGGATTGGGCGATCTTGGGGGTTGGGCGATGCTAGGCGTTGGGCGATCTTGGGCGTTAGGCGATCTTGGGCGTTGGGCGATCTTGGGCATTGGGCGATCTTGGGCGTCGGGCGCTCTTGGGCGTTGGGCGATCTTGGGCGTTAGGCGATCTTGGGCATTGGGCGATCTTGGGCGTTGGGCGGTGTTGGGCGTTGGGCAATCTTGGGCGTTGGGCAATCTTGGGCGTTGAGCGATCTTGCGCGTTGGGCGATCTTGGGCGTTGGGCGATCTTGGGCGTTAGGCGATCTTGGGCGTTGGGCGGTCTTGGGCGTTGGGCAATCTTGGGCGTTGGGCAATCTTGGGCGTTGGGCGATCGTGCGCGTTGGGCGATCGTGCGCGTTGGGCGATCTTGGGGGTTGGTGGATCTTCAGCGTTGGGCGATCTTGGGCGTTGGACGATCTTGAAGGTTGGGCGATCTTGGGGGTGGCGCGATCTTGCGCGTTGGGAAATCTTGGGCGTTGGGCGATCTTGGGGATTGGGCTATCTTGGGGGTTGGGCGATCTTGGGGGTTGGGCGATCTTGGGGGTTTGGCAATCTTGGGCGTTGGGCGATCTTGGGCGTTGGGCTGTCTTGGGCGTTGGGCGACCTTAGGCATTGGGCGATCTTGGCGGTTGGGTGATTAGCAGTGGGCGGTCTTGGGGGTTGGGCGATGCTAGGCGTTGGGCGATCTTGGGCGTTGGGCGATCTTGGGCATTGGGCGATCTTGGGCGTCGGGCGATCTTGGGCGTTGGGCAATCTTGGGCGTTAGGCGATCTTGGGCATTGGGCGATCTTGGGCGTTGGGCGGTCTTGGGCGTTGGGCAATCTTGGGCGTTGGGCAATCTTGGGCGTTGGGCGATCCTGCGCGTTGGGCGATCTTGCGCGTTGGGCGATCTTGGGAGTTGGGCGATCTTCGGCGTTGGGCGATGCTAGGTGTTGGACGATCTTGGGGGTTGGGCTATCTTGGGGGTTGCGCGATCTTGCGCGTTGGGCAATCTTGGGCGTTGGGCGATCTTGCGCATTGGGCGATCATGCGCGATGGGCGATCTTGGGCGTTGGGTGATCTTGGGCATTGGGCGATCTTGGGCCCTGGCGATCTTGGCGGTTGGGCGATCTTGGGGGTTGGGCGATCTTGGGCGTTGGGCGATCTTGGGGGTTGGGCGATCTTGGGGGTTTGGCGATCTTGGGGGTTGGGCGATCTTGGGGGTTGGGCAATCTTGGGCGTTGGGCGATCTGGGGCGTTGGGCTGTCTTGGGCATTGGGCGATCTTGGCGGTTGGGCGATCTTGGGGGTTGGGCTATCTTGGGGATTGGGCGATCTTGGGGGTTGGGCGATGCTAGGCGTTGGGCGATCTTGGGCGTTGGGCGGTCTTGGGCGTTGGGCAATCTTGGGCGTTGGGCAATCTTGGGCGTTGGGCGATCGTGCGCGTTGGGCGATCTTGCGCGTTGGGCGATCTTGGGGGTTGGGCGATCTTGGGTGTTGGACGATCTTGGGGGTTGGGCGATTTTGGGGGTTGCGCGATCTTGCGCGTTGGGCAATCTTGGGCGTTGGGTGATCTTGCGGATTGGGCGATCGTGCGCAATGGACGATCTTGGGCGTTGGGTGATCATGGGCATTGGGCGATCTTGGGCGTTGGGCGACCTTGGGCACTGGCGATCTTGGCGGTTGGGCGATCTTGGGGGTTGGGCGATCTTGGGGGTTGGGCGATCTTGGGGGTTGGGCGATCTTGGGCGTTGGGCTGTCTTGGGCGTTGGGCGACCTTCGGCATTGGGCGATCTTGGCGGTGGGCGATCTTGGGGGTTGGGCTATCTTGGGGATTGGGCGATCTTGGGGGTTGGGCGATGCTAGGCGTTGGGCGATCTTGGGAGTTGGGCGATCTTGGGCATTGGGCGATCTTGGGCGTCGGGCGATCTTGGGCGTTGGGCGATCTTGGGCGTTAGGCGATCTTGGGCATTGGGCGATCTTGGGCGTTGGGCGGTCTTGGGCGTTGGGCAATCTTGGGGGTTGGGCGATCTTGGGCGTTGGGCAATCTTGGGGGTTGGGCGATCTTGGGCGTTGAGCGATCTTGCGCGTTGGGCGATCTTGGGCGTTGGGCGATCTTTTGCATTGGCCAATCTTGCGCATTGGGCGTTCTTGGGGGTTGGTCGATGTAAGGCGTTGGGCGATATTGGTTGTTGGGCGATCTTGCGCGTTGGGCTATCTTGAGGGTTGGCCAATCTTGGGCGTTGGGCTATCTTGGGCGTTGGGCGATCTGGGGCGTTGGGCGATCTTTGGGGTTGGGCGATCTTGGGGGTTGGGCGACCTTGCGCGTTGGGCGATCTTGCGCATTGGGCGATCTTGCGCGATGGGCGATCTTGCACGTTGGGTGATCTTGGGCGCTAGGCGACCTGGGTAGTGGGCGAACTTGGCGGTTGGGCGATCTTGGGGGTTGGGCGATCTTGGGCGTTGGGCGATCTTGGGGGTTGGGCGATCTTGGGGGTTGGGCGATCTTGGGGGTTGGGCAATCTTGGGCGTTGGGCGATCTTGGGCGTTGGGCGATCTTGGGGGTTGGGCGATCCTGTTCATTGGGCGATCTTGCACGTTGGACGACCTTGCGCGTTGGGCGATCTTGCCCATTGGGCGATCTTGGGCGTTAGGCAATCTTGGCGATTGGGCAATTTTGGCGGTTGGGCGATCTTGGGGGTTGGGAGATCCTGGACGTTGGGCGGTCTTGGGGGTTGGGCGATCTTGTGTGCTGGGCGATCTTGCGCGTTTGGTGATTTTGGGCGTCGGGCGATCTTTGGGGTTGGTCGATCTTGCGAGTTGGGCGATCTTGCGCGTTGGGCGATCTTGGGGGTTGGGCAATCTTGGGCGTTGGGCGATCTTGGCGGTTGGGCGATCTTGGGGTTTGGGCTATCTTGGGGATTGGGCGATCTTGGGGGTTGGGCGATGCTAGGCGTTGGGCGATCTTGGGCGTTGGGCGGGCTTGGGCGTTGGGCAATCTTGGGCGTTGGGCAATCTTTGGCGTTGGGCGATCGTGCGAGTTGGGCGATCTTGCGCGTTGGGCGATCTTGGGGGTTGGGCGATCTTCGGCGTTGGGCGATCTTGGGTGTTGGACGATCTTGGGGGTTGGGCGAACTTGGGGGTTGCGCGATCTTTCGCGTTGGGCAATCTTGGGCGTTGGGCGATCTTGCGGATTGGGCGATCGTGCGCGATGGACGATCTTGGGCGTTGGGTGATCATGGGCATTGGGCGATCTTGGGCGTTGGGCGACCTTGGGCACTGGCGATCTTGGCGGTTGGGCGATCTTGGGGGTTGGGCGATCTTGGGGGTTGGGCGATCTTGGGCGTTGGGCTGTCTTGGGCGTTGGGCGACCTTCGGCATTGGGCGATCTTGGCGGTTGGGCGATCTTGGTGGTGGGCGATCTTGGGGGTTGGGCTATCTTGGGGATTGGGCGATCTTGGGGGTTGGGCGATGCTAGGCGTTGGGCGATCTTGGGCGTTGGGCGATCTTGGGCATTGGGCGATCTTGGGCGTCGGGCAATCTTGGGCGTTGGGCGATCTTGGGCGTTAGGCGATCTTGGGCATTGGGCGATCTTGGGCGTTGGGCGGTCTTGGGCGTTGGGCAATCTTGGGGGTTGGGCGATCTTGGGCGTTGGGCAATCTTGGGGGTTGGGCGATCTTGGGCGTTGAGCGATCTTGCGCGTTGGGCGATCTTGGGCGTTGGGCGATCTTTTGCATTGGCCAATCTTGCGCATTGGGCGTTCTTGGGCGTTGGTCGATGTAAGGCGTTGGGCGATGTTGGTTGTTGGGCGATCTTGCGCGTTGGGCGATCTTGCGCGTTGGGCTATCTTGAGGGTTGGCCAATCTTGGGCGTTGGGCTATCTTGGGCGTTGGGCGATCTTGGGGGTCGGGCGAACTTGGGGGTTGGATGATCTTGGCCGTTGGGCGATCTTGGGGGTTGGGCAATCTTGGGCGATCTTGGGCGTTGGGCGAACTTGGGCGTTGTGCGATCTTGTGCATTCGCCAATCTTGCGCATTGGGCGATCTCGGGCGTTGGGCGATGTATGGCGTTGGGCGATCTTGCGCATTGGGCGATCTTGCGCGATGGGCGATCTTGCACGTTGGGCGATCTTGGGCGCTGGGCGATCTGGGTAGTGGGCGATCTTGGCGGTTGGGCGATCTTGGGGGTTGGGCGATTTTGGGCGTTGGGCGATCTTGGGGGTTGGGCGATCTTGGGGGTTGGGCGATCTTGGGGGTTGGGCGATCTTGGGGGTTGGGCAATCTTGGGCGTTGGGCGATCTTGGGCGTTGGGCGATCTTGGGGGTTGGGCGATCCTGGGCATTGGGCGATCTTGCACGTTGGACGACCTTGCGCGTTGGGCGATCTTGCGCATTGGGCGATCTTGGGCGTTAGGCAATCTTGGCGGTTGGGCAATTTTGGCGGTTGGGCGATCTTGGGTGTTGGGAGATCCTGGACGTTGGGCGGTCTTGGGGGTTGGGCGATCTTGTGTGCTGGGCGATCTTGCGCGTTTGGTGATTTTGGGCGTCGGGCGATCTTTGGGGTTGGGCGATCTTGCGAGTTGGGCGATCTTGCGCGTTGGGCGATCTTGCGCGTTGGGTAATCTTGCGCGTGGGGCGATCTCCTGGGTAGGGCGATTTTGGCAGTTGGGCGATTTTCGTGGTTGGGTGATCTTGGGGGTTGGGCGATCTTGCGCGTTGGGCGATCTTGCGCGTTGGGCGATCTTGGGCATTGGGTGATCTTGCGTGTTGGGCGATCTTGTGCGTTGGGCGATCGTGCGCATTGGGCGATCTTGCGCGTTGGGCGATCTTGGGCATTGGTCAATCTTGGGCGTTGGGCGACCTTTGGCGTTGGGCGATCTTGACGGTTGGGCGATCTTGAGTGTTGGGCGACCTTGCTTGTTGGGCGATCTTGGGCGTTGGGCGATCTTTTGCATGGGCCAATCTTGCGCATTGGGCGATCTTGGGCGTTGGGCGATGTTGCTTGTTGGGCGATCTTGGACGTTGGGCGAACTTGGGCGTTGTGCGATCTTGTGCATTGGCCAATCTTGTGCATTGGGCGATCTTGGGCGTTGGGCGATGTATGGCGTTGTGCGATCTTGGGGATCGGGCGAACTTGGGGGTTGGACGATCTTGGGCGTTGGGCGATCTTGGGGGTTGGGCGATGTATGGCGTTGTGCGATCTTGGGGATCGGGCGAACTTGGGGGTTGGGCGATCTTGGGCGTTGGACGATCTTGGGGGTTGGGCGATCTTGGGCGATCTTGGACGTTGGGCGAACTTGGGCGTTGTGCGATCTTGTGCATTGGCCAATCTTGCGCATTGGGCGATCTTGGGCGTTGGGCGATGTATGGCGTTGGGCGATGTATGGCGTTGGGCGATCTTGCGCGTTGGGCGATCTTGGGGGTTGGGCGATCTTGGGCGTTGGGCAATCTTGGGGGTTCGGTGATCTTGGGGGTTGCGCGATCTTGCGCGTTGGGCGATCTTGGGCGTTGGGCGATCTTGCGCATTGGGCGATCTTGCGCGATGGGCGATCTTGCGGGTTGGGCGATCTTGGGCGTTGGGCGACCTTGGGCGTTGGGTGAACTTGGCGGTTGGGTGATCTTAGGGGTTAGGCGATCTTGGGCGTCGGGCGATCTTGGGGGTTGGGCTATCTTGGGGGTTGGGCGATCTTGGGGGTTGGGCTATCTTGGGGGTTGGGCGATCTTGGGGGTTGGGCGATCTTGGGGGTTGGGCGATCTTGGGCATTGGGCGATCTTGGGCATTGGGCGATCTTTGGGGGTTGGGCGAGCTTGGGGGTTGGGTTATCTTGCGCGTTGGGCGATCTTGCGCGTTGGGCGATCTTGCGCATTGGGCGATCTTGGGCGTTGGGCAATCTTGGCGGTTGGGCGATTTTGGCGGTTGGGCGATCTTGGGGGTTGGAGATCTTGGGCGTTGGGCGATCTTGGGGGTTGGGCGATCTTGCGCGCTGGGCGATCTTGCGCGTGGGGTGATTATTGGTGTTGGGCGATCTTGCGCGTTGGGCGGTCTTGGGCATTGGGCGATCTTGGGGGTGGGGCGATCTTGCGCGTTGGGCGATCTTGGGTGTTGGGCGATCTTGCGCGTTGGGCGATTGTGCGCATTGGCGATCTTGCGCGTTGGGCGATCTTGGGCGTTGGGCGTTCTTGGCGGTTGGGCGATCTCGGGGGTTGGGCGATTAAGGGCGTTGGGCGATCTTGGGGATGGGGCGATCTTGCGTGTTGGGCTATCTTGCGCTTTGGGCGATCTTGGGTGTTGGCCGATCTTGGGCGTTGGGCGATCTTCGGCGATGGGCCACAAGGTCATTCACTCGTCCGCAACAAGGTCGTTCACTCGGGCACAAGGTCATTCACTCGGCCACAAGGTGATTCACTCGGCCACAAGGTCATTCACTCGGCCACAAGGCCATTGACTCGGCCACAAGGCGATTGACTCGGCCAGAAGGTCATTGACTCGGCCACAAAGTCATTTACTCGGCCACAAGGTCATTCACTCGGCCACAAGGTCACTCAATCGGCCACAAGGTCATTCACTCGGCCACAAGATCATTCACTCGGCCACAAGGTCATTTGCTTGGCCAAAAGGTCACTCACTCGTCCACAATGTCTCTCACTAGTCCACAAGGTCATTTCACTCGGCCACAAGGTCACTCAGTCGGCCACAAGGTCATTCACTCGGCCACAAGGTCATTCACTCGGCCACAAGGTCGTTCACTCGGCCACAAGGTCGTTCACTCGGCCACAAGGTCGTTCACTCGGCAACAAGGTCATTCACTCGGCCACAAGGTCATTCACTCGGCCACAAGGTCATTTGCTCGGCCAAAATCACTCGTCCACAATGTCTCTCACTCGTCCACAAGGTCATTTCACTCGGCCACAAGGTCACTCAGTCGGCCACAAGGTCATTCACTCGGCCACAAGGTCATTCACTCGGCCACAAGGTCGTTCACTCGGCCACAAGGTCGTTCACTCGGCCACAAGGTCGTTCACTCGGCCACAAGGTCATTCACTCGGCCACAAGGTCATTCACTCGGCAACAAGGTCATTCACTCGGCCACAAGGTCTCTCTCTCGGCCACAAGGTCACTCAATCGGCCACAAGGTCATTCACTTGGCCATAGGTTCACTCACTCGGCCATGGGGTAACTCACACGGCTATGGAGCCATCCATCAGCTATAAGGGGTCATTCCCTTGGCCATGGGGTGTTTCAGTCGGCCATGGGGTGATTCAGTCGGCCATGGGGTCATTCACTCGGCCATGGGTTGTTTCACTCGGCCATGGGGTCATTCACTCGGCCATGGGGTCATTCACTCGGCCATGGGTTGATTCACTCAACCATATTCGCCCGTGAAACATGTATCCATTCACTCTTGCTACCCTCCAAACAGTCAGAGAACTTCCGAGCCACCTTCCGCACATGAGCCTCGTCCACCTTCACCAGGTCCCACCCCCCTCACGCATATCCATTCACCCGTGCGACCCTCCAAACAGTCATAGAACTTCCGAGCCACCTTCCGTGAGCCCACCCCCCCTCGCCTCCTCATTGCTGCTTATAAGCCTTTGCCAGTAGACTAGGTTCCCATGTCCCAGATCTCACCTCCAAACAGTCGAAGAACTTCCTGGCAGTCCTGAGCACGTGAGTCTCGTCCACTATCACAGTGGCCCACCCCCCTCTCCCATATTCGTCGACCCCCAAGATGCATGCATGTATTCACCCCATCTCTCACCTCCAAACAGTCGTACGGCTTCCTGCCAGTCCGGAGGACGTGAGCCTCGTCCACTATCACCATGCCCCAACCCCCTCGCCTCCTCATCAGCGTTCGTCTCAGCCGCCCTGCCATGGTAAATGATGTGATCACCACTGCTGGGGCTGCAGGGGAAGGGGGAAGTGGGGGGGGGAGGAGAGGGGGTGGTGGTGGGAGGTGGAAATCATAAGCAATTTATCAGCCGCCCTGCCATAGTGAATGACGTGATGACCACTGTTGGAGCTGGTTCGGTGGGTTGTGGAAGGCCGAGGAAGAGGGGAAGACGGAAGAAGGTGTGGGGGGGGGGAGGAGGGGGGGGGAGGAAGGCCCACCTTCCCCACCTGCCCCACTGTGCCCCACCGTGCTCCACCATGCTCCACCGTGCCCAACCGTGCCCCAACTTACTCAGCTCCTCCGCAGCGAGCGTCACAACTGCCCTGCCACACCATCGTGAACGATATGACCACCACTGTAGGGCGGCTACTGCCCACCTGCCGTTTTTCCAGCTCACCTTTGGTTTTGAGGCGCCTCAAAACTAGATTCGTCACAACTGCCCTGCCACACCATCGTGAACAATACGATCACCACTGTAGGGCGGCTATTGCCCACCCTCTGCCATGTTTCCAGCTCACCTTTGCTCCTCTCCTCGTCTATGTGCCCGCCCGGTCATGCTGCCATCCGAAGCAACGCCAGGAGGAGTCCCTTCCCCTTGGTCCCTCTGTTGGAGATAGGCTGCAATTCGGTTGGCACAACTTTGTGTTGGCAATTTGTTGGTTTTAGGGATACGCATATTTGTTAGGTTGGGTGTAGCTATGTTTTCATCCCCAACCTATCCCAACCCAATCCATCCCAAATCCTCACGATTTGGGAGGATTCCCTTGGGATTACCTCCGATTCTCCCTTATCCCTTCCCATCCTCTCCGATGCTTGGTACTTAAGGATGTATGCTCTTGCTCATTATATCAATGAAGTTCTCAGTTTCTGATACCCTCCTCCACTAGGTCATCTCGCTGGCCGCCCCACGAGTTGCCATCCAACTCCCTCCGGCTTCTAAACCACCTCACCTCTGCTCGCCCCATTGGCCGTGCAAGCGTTCATGCTGCCATCTGGAGCAACGCCAGGAGGAGTCCATTCCCCCTGGTCCTCCTCCACTAGGTCATCTCGCTGGCCGAATACGGCAGAGCATTGAATTGGCCAATTGCCTTGGAAGTGGCAGGGCAGGGAAGTAGGACTTTCACCAGCTCACCTTGCCCAATTGCCTTGGAAGTGGCAGGGCAGGACTGTAGGACTTTCACCAGCTCACCTTGGCCAATTGCCTTGGAAGTGGCAGGGCAGGGCTGTAGGACTTTCACCAGCGCACCTCGGCCATTTGCCTTGTCCGTGTGCCCCTTCATGCTGCCATCCGTGCCAACGCCAGGAGACCCCTCCCCTGGGTCCTCCTCCACTAGATCGTCCCGCTGTCCAAACACTGGAGGAGGGCAGTGAGTAGGTAAGAAGGAACGGTAATATAGGTTGCAGATGTTACTCGCATGGCACCACCTGCTGCATCCTCCCCTGGGTCCTCCTGCCCCAGGCCGTCCCGCTGGCCAAACACTGCAGCCCGGAGCATTGCATTGATTAGAGGAAAAAGAACGATAATGGATGAGATGCGAATCACATTCTCATGGCATCACCCGGCTGCATCCTTCCCTGGGTCCTCCTCCACCAGATCGTCCCTCTGGCCGAACACTGCAGTGCGGAGCATGGACCAGAGGGAAAGGAACGATAATATGGGGTGCGAATCCCACTGCATTTCCCAGGCGCTCCAGCTGGAAGGTCGGGCAGCCATCTCTCTAGCTGCCCACCCCACTGCAGCCTAAGACACGCCGGACACACTACGAGGATAGGACCTTTCCCCTTGAAGCACACAGACACGTACCAACTTGAATGTGGGTTGGGCGAATGAAGGGCAGCCATGTCTCTAGCTGCCCACCCAGCCCACTGCAGCCTGAGGCATGCCGGACACACTAAAAGCGCAGGACCGTCCTTCTTGCACCATGCATGCAAGCATGTACCCTTCTGCCATGCACCACGCATGCATACACGTACCAACGTGAATCTGGTATGGGCGCAGGAAGGGCAGCCATCGCTCCAGCTGCTCAGCCCACTGCAGCCTGAGACACACCAGACACACTATGAGGAGAGGTCCTTTCCCCATGGCCTTTCCCCATGGCCTTTCCCCGACGTACTATGGATGTACCGTGCATGTGCCCAAGAAGCACGTACCCACGTGGATCTGGGAAGGCCGCAGGAAGGGCAGCCATCGTTCCAGCTGCTCGGCCCACTGCAGCCTGAGGCACGCCGGACACACTATGAGGACAGGGCCCTCTGCCATGTACCATGCTGCTGCTGCTATGGCCTGGTGGGGGAACAGAGGTGTTGCGGGGGGTAGCATTAGGGCAATTACCAATAAGGACAGGGCCGGACACATTATGAGGACAGGACCCTCTGCCATGTACCATGCTGCTGCTGCCATGGCCTGGACAGAGCATACAGGGTGGGGAGGAAACAGGGTGGGAGCATGCCCCTTATGTTGACAATTCAGACGCAGCGCCCTTCCCTCCTTTCAGCAAACTTCACCCTTTCTCACTTGAACAACCGTAGACACACAGATGAGCAAGCACTTGAAAAAACACAAGAGAAAGCTCCCATCTGTATGGACTTCCCCACGCCCAATTCGTTTGCAATCAGGCAGCCCCATCCTCTCCTCCCAGCACATTTCACCCCTTCTATCTGGAACGATCTTAGACACATGCCAACAGTACCCCGCCTGTATTGTTCTGCCAGAAAGTCCACCTGTATGGTCTTCCCAACACTCAAGCACCGCCCTCCCCTCCTCGCAGGAAACTTCACCCCCTCCCTTAGGCACACACCAACAGTACCCCGCCTGTATTGTTCTGCCAGAATGCCCACCTGTATAGTCTCCCCTCTGCCCAGCAAACTTCACCAGTTCTCTCTAAAACGGCAGCAGGGCTCGCCGGAAATCCCTCTCTCTGCTCCCCTGTATTGTCTTGCCGACTCCCATCTCGTCAGCAATCAAGCACCGCCCTCCTCTCTGCACAGCAAGCTTCACCCCCTCCCTCTGGAACGGCAGCAGCGCCCGCTGGAAATGCCGCCTGCATACTTATCGCCTTCACTCCACTCACCTGTATTGTCTTGCCGACTCCCATCTCGTCCGCAATCAAGCACCGCCCTCCTCTCTGCACGGCAAACTTCACCCCCTCCCTCTGGAATGGCAGCAGCGCTCGCCGGAGCTGACCTGGCAGCCGCCGCTCCATCTCCCGATCCAGCACACTCCTTGCCGAACCTCGCACTGAACCTATTGTCAAACCAGGTGCCGAACCAGGTGCTAAACCAGGTAACGAACCGTTTGCCGAACCAGTCGCCGAGCCATCTTCCAGACCAGTGTCACCAGCAGCACTAGAGCACAGAGCTGAGCCGAGATTCGCTCCCACACCTCTAGAAGTTGCCTCTGCCTCTCCTGCTTCTGCATCAGCCACTGCTTCTGCTGTTTCCACCATCCCTCTCAACCTCTCCCTCTCCTTGCTCTCCCTTAACGCAGCCAACGTACTCACAGGCACGCCCTGTATCCTCACTCCCACGCTCACTCGCTCGCTATGTGAGGGAACCAACGAGCCTGACAGGTCGGAGCCCTGGGCCGGGAGCTTGGCTTGGAAGGGAGGGATGGACCGGGACTGGTCCGGGAGTTGGTTCGGGAGCAGCGGTTGGAAGGCTTGGAAGGGAGGGATGGAGCGGAGGGTGAAGAGGAGGGAGTCGTAGAATCGAAGGGGGAACACAGGCACCAGGCGGGTGACGCCCCTTGATGCCTCTGTTGCCACGTGCTGCCACCGGATTGGTTGAGCCTGCAGCAGTGGTGGACGAGGGGGAGAGGAACAGAAAGAGACAGTTGTTTGACTTGGAAGGGTGGGATGGAGCGGAGGGTAAAGAGGAGGGAGTCGTAGAGTCGTAGGCGGAACACAGGCACCAGGCGGGTGACGCCCCTTGATGCCTCTGTTGCCACGTGCTGCCACCGGATTGGTTGAGCCTGCAGCAGTGGTGGACGAGGGGGAGAGGAACAGAAAGAGACAGTTGTTTGACTTGGAAGGGTGGGATGGAGCGGAGGGTAAAGAGGAGGGAGTCGTAGAGTCGTAGGCGGAACACAGGCACCAGGCGGGTGACGCCCCTTGATGCCTCTGTTGCCACGTGCTGCCACCGGATTGGCTGAGCCTGCAGTAATCATGGAAGGGAGGGGATCACAAAAGTTTCAGCTGGCTGTCAAAATCGTTGCACTCCCCACCTGGCAGTCCTTGAGTTCAAACATGCCACCGATATTCAAAGTTTAAATGCCACCAATCAGTCATCACCTGGCAGACGGCAATCCCCAGGTCCGAGAGAGTACCACAGGGTATCACATCGCATCACATCGCATCACGTCACGTCACGTCACGTCACGTCACGTCACGTCACGTCACGTCACGTCACGTCACGTCACGTCACGTCACGTCCCGTCACGTCACGTCACGTCACGTCACGTCACGTCACATCACATCACATCACATTGCATCACATCACCTTGACGAAGCGCGTGCAGAACGCAAGGGCACCCTGGTGGTCTAACCCCATCCTCCTGTTGCCCGCTGATTTCCCGTCTGTAGCTTTCTGAGGCCTTCCTGCAATCTCTCTCTGCTGCACTGACTTCTCGTTATAAGAACACCCAGTATTAGCTGCATCCCCAGTCACTGGTATCTTTTGATTCTCTCTACCTATAACAAATTGTCTGCTGCCGCTCCCACCCGACCCTCGACCCCCTTCTCCTCGGGCCCTTCTCATGTACTCCTTATAAACAGTCCCGTTTGTCACCCAATCTGCGAAGAGACAGAACTCGTCTGCTGAAACGAGCTCCAAGGACACCTGCAATGGAGCCAATGGTCCCAGCTGCTGTGATTGGTGCTGGTGATGCTGCACTTGATGCTGCTGCTGCTGCTGTGCTGGATGCTGCTGCTGCTGCTGTGCTGGATGCTGCTGCTGCTTCTGCTGCTGCTGCTCCTGTGCTCGATTCCAGTGGTGATCTGATGGTTGCTGCCGATGCTGCTGTTGCACTTGTTGCTGGCTCTGGCCCTGAAGCTGCTGCTCTGGCTTATGAGGCTGCTGGTACGATGGTGCTCGTTGCTGCTGCTGCTGGTCCTGGAGGTGCTGCTGCTGCTGCTTCCCCTTATCACCGTTCTCCACCCCCCCCTCCACCTGCTGCCTCAGCCTCTCTGCTCGTCTTTCAATGGCCGCCTGCCGGTTTGCCTTGATTCGCTCGCGGACGTCCAATGGAAGGAGAGAGGAATCACGACCGTCCACGCCTGCCACTGTTTTAAGCGCCTCACGGCACTGAATGGCCGCTTGCCGGTTCGCACTGTTACCATCGTGGACGTCCAATGGAAGGAGAGACGAATCATCACCGTCCACGCCTGCCCCGTCTGCTGCTTCTCGGCCAGCCTTGACCAGAGCAGGTGCAACAGAACCATTTGCTGGTGGTTTGACTCCTCCTGGTTTGGCTCCTGCTGATTCGACCAGTGAGCGTTCAGCAGCCCTTCGTCCTGCTGCTATGCTGCCTGCAGGATCCTTCTTGACTTGCTCGTGCTCCGCTTGACCTTTCTCCCTCTGCATCCCAGCAGCCGCCTTGTCGTTCTCAGCAGCTTTGTCGTTCCGCCTTGCAGGGTCATCATTTGCAGGGTCATCATTTGCAGAGTCATCATTTGCAGAGTCACCCTTCGTCTCTGTGCCTTGGTTCCCAATGCGCTCCTTGAGCATCACTGCCAGCTGCTGGTCTGCCTCCTTTCCATCCTCCTGGCCTTCACGTGCATCCTGATGCTCCGTCTGCTCCTTGTGAATCTCTAGATTCTGGTCTGTCGCCATTCCCCTCTCATGGCCTTCACGTGCATCTCGATGCTGCGTCGGCTGGATTCGTTGTGCCTGTCCATCCGTTTTTTGGGCGTCATGTGTACTGGGAATCGACTCAATTAGCAGCGGCTTTCTTTGGGCCTGAAGATCCTGTTTTGGGGCTACATCAGCGACGGATCCAGGCGTGGGATTGCTACCAGGCGATGAATCGCAGCCGAACGTCGCCTGAGACTCGTCAGCGTCGTCGACCAGCCAGGCGAACACCTTGGCCGCTCGCGACGCTTTGCGACTGGCGAATCCGGCCCTGCGACGAGCTGACGTCGCCATCCTTCGCCCTTAATCCGCATCACTGCTGGGGATACAATCATACAGCACTGCAGCGCTCCCTAATGCGGCATTGTCCCGTATCACTACCAGAAACACGATACTACAGCACTATCGCGCTCGTTAATGGGACACTGCTTGCTACGATTACTGAAAATACCACAATTCCGCCTGACCATGTCCGAAGTAATCCGGAATCTACGTATCAAAATTGCCACTTTTAGAAACGACAAGCCGAAGTGGTGGATCTTTACTGTGCTTATGTAACTTCAGGAACGTCACGGTAGAAAGGGATCAGGACTCATGACGAGCTATCATTTCATGGTCCGTTACTGATCACCCATGAATCAGGCAGAAACAGCAAGAACCTAGGGATAAGATTCAGGATAGCTCAAGGGAACGGCATAGGAGATTGGATTCAAGGTTCAGAGGGAAGAGGAACGGAAAGTGAAGCTGACGCTTTCTTCATTTTCGCCAATGTTCGCCAGAGGAAGAGTGGCTAGTTTGCGACGTGGTCGAAATGGGTCTCACCACAGCCTGTCAGACGTTACCGTCAGGACGGGCCAATCGCGTTGCGGTTCAAATTTGTACTCGCAAAATGCTTCCGATCATAGTTCTCAACATTCCCGTGATGATACAGAAATATACGCTAACTACTACAGCGCATGTCGTACACATTGCATGTAAGCGACTAGAGCCACCATTCTCACTGTCTATAAGAACGTAAGGCATGAAACCATGTAAGAACCTTTCAGCTAAGGACACACCACTACATGCTACAAAGTAAGACCACACAATTGTAAATTAAACAATATGCACGGGTCCCACCCATCGAAGGGACACGTTTCTAGCGATTCACACGACAATGTTGGGCCACTAACTACTAGTCTCATCCCCCACCTGGTAAAGAAAACCCCCATACCCCTACCCAAGCCAACTCTCATGATGTTTGAGGATAAAAACCAACCATAGCTTTGCAGTAGCTTTTGCTACTGCTGCTCCTGCACCTGCCACCATGCGGCGACATGGTATCCTCCATGCCACCCAACCACCTCCCCTATCTTCAGATATGTGCAGCTCCGCAATCACCTGCCAGCGTGGAGCTATGACAAACCTTTTCACACCACTACACAATAACACACAACCCCACACAATCCTACACACCTCCACCTCCCCCTTCAGCTTCCCTCCACATATTCTTTCGTTGGACACCCAACCCCTTCTGCGGAGCCTAGTCATGACTTCTCCCTCCTTTGACCTGTTCCGGCAATTCTGCTGCGCGATAGCTGAACCATCTCCCCTCCCTTCCTGCTGTCCCTCCCCTCCCTTCCTGTAGTCCCTCCCCTCCCTTCCTGAATTCCCTCCCCTCGATACAGTCACATGCTTGCCAAACCCCTCCCTGTAATCCCATCTACAGATGGCCGACTCTCCGCCCAGTCTATGACCGCTTTGGTCCGGGACGCCAGCGGCAGGAGCGCGGCTCCCCCCCACCAGCGCCGTCTCCACATTCAGCTTCTTCCCTGCACAGCGCCGCACAGCACCACACGGGCACCCCTCCGTCTCCACATTCAGCTTCTTCTCCGCGTCCCACTCCATCCCCTCCCCTGCACAGCACCACACAGCGCCACACAGCGCCACACAGCACCACACAGCACCACACGGGCACCCCTCCGTCTCCAGATTCAGCTTCTTTTCCGCGTCACGCTCCATCCGCCCTGCTCCCTCCGCTCCCCCTGCTCCCTCCGCTCCCTCCACTCCCTCCGCTCCCATCCGCTCCTCCGCTCCGGCCCGTACATTCCATCTACGGACGGCAAACTCTCCTCCCATTCAATCACCGCTTTTGTCCAGCCATCTTCCTAAACACAGCCACACATCTTACTCCCCCTGCTCCCACCCCTTCAGCCCTTAAATCCCATCTGCGGACGGAAGACTCTCCTCCCAATCGATCACCGCCTTGGTTCTCGACGCGCCGGCAGCCAGCGCGCGGTTTCAGCTTCTTCTCCATGCGCTCCACCCCCTCCCTCCGCTCCCATGCGCTCCTCCCGCTCATCCCGCTCCCCCCGCTCCTCCCGCTCCCCCCGCTCCCCCCGCTTCCCCCGCCAAAGCCCCTAAATCCCATCTACTGACGGCAGGGACTCCTCCCACTCGATCACCGCCTTGGTCCGCGACGCGCCGGCGGCGGGTGCGCGGTTTCCGCCCACCAGCGCCGTCTCGAGGTTCAGCTTCTTCTCCGCGTCGCGCTCCATGGCCTCGAGGCGCGCCTTTCTGTGCGACCGCCAGAACACCCACGCGAGGCAGCCCGCGACCAGCAGCAGGAATATAATCCCGATGGAAAGTCCAACCGCGAGTGCTACAGTGTCGTTGGAAGACGATGACGCGGGGGGTGGAGGGGCGGGAGGGGAGGTGGAGGGAGGCGGAGAGGGGGAAGTTCCGGGGGAAATCGGGGGAGGCGGAGAGGGGGGGGATGGGGGAGGCGGGGACGGCAGCGGAGGGGGTTCGAGGGAGATTGCCAGGGTAAATTCCCCTAGGTCGGGAGAGCTGCAGGTGTAGTTGGTGGTGCCCGTGACTGGGGTTGTAGGTGACGGTGGCGCGGGAGACCTGTCGGTCGTTACTGTAGAATTTACTGGCAAGCCGTCAGCGTCAAAAGTCACGCAGAAGTAAAAATCCGGGAATTTTACGTCCAAAGCCAGGGAGACCTGAATCGGCGTGTTTGTATCCGTTACAGTCACATTCAGCGGTTCGACAAGAGTCGCACTGTTGATCATCGAAAACGGGTACACGCTCAGGCCCACAAACTGCGCCGCGTATCGGTACCCCTTCGGCGGTTTAAACGGCGCGGTGAAATTAGGGTAATTCTGGTACAGTAACACCACCCGAGACTCCGTTGTAGGAACGTTTAAACCGGGCGGCAGGTAGAACTCTTTATAGCGTATGCCGTTCGCCGCGAAAGTCGCAGTATTGAGGACGGCTAGGTCCATGGTCGACCCAGAAGACGGCGTGGCCGGTAGGGTTACTATCGTTCCGTCCGTCGCATTCGCGACGTGCGAAAACGCAATCGCCTGCACGACTTCGTGGAACAGCTGTAACCGCTTCTTCGCGATCTGGTCCTGATCCGACAGCCCCGCAGATGCCGGGCCTGCTGCGCCTGCGCCGGCGGCGCCGCTTCCGCCCGCGGCGGGTTGCGCGGCGGCTCTTCCCCCGCCCGCGGCAGCAGCAGCGGGTTGCGCGGAGACGAGCGGGTGCGTTATCGGCGACGCGAGGAGGAGCAGGGAAAGAAGGATGAGGAGACGCGGTAGAGGGGATGGGACGAGACGAATGTTCCGCGCCATTGCTGCTAGATGAGCCAGGGCCAGGTCGACACTTAGTCAGGACCTTAGGGTCGACACCTACTCAGGACACACCTAGTACTCAGGACCTTAGGGTAGGCCCGAGAAGCAGTTGGAGCGTGAAAATGGGGTGGCGCTCGGAAGTCGAAAGGAGCAACAGGTGAGAAGGCAGGAGGGGAATGGGCGAGAAGTGCCGGAAAGCCGAGCGAAACTGGTGGCGAAAAAATGGCACTGAGCCTGAGGGGGCGACGCTAGAGACGACGGGAGAGGCGACTATCAACTGCAGCTATTGGGAGGCACAAGGCGTCTGCTGCTCGGACCGGTTTCCATCCTGTAAGCCGATTAGCGGAGCAGGAGGCTGCAGGCCGAGTCTCTAGGCTGTAGGCTGTAGGCCTAGTCTATGTGGAGCAGGAGGTGCTGGTGGCTGCTTGCTAGTACGCTCTAGCGGGCGTTAGGGTATTCGTCGCAGCGACGAGAGGAAAGGCACACTGTAAATGCTGGTGAGCGGCGGTTCCAGCGGGACTTTGAAATGGGCTTCAACAAGGGCTTCTGCTCATGGGTGCCGTCAGCAGCGACCTAGCCAGAACCTGCACTGGCTATGGCGGAACGTGCTCTGATGGACGACCGAAAATAGAAGAGGTCAGTGGATGAGTGGAATAGAGAAGACCAGAGCACCAGCAGTGAAGGGGGGGGAATATGGGCTGCTGAATACGCAAGAAGCGCGGAGAACCGAACATGGGCGATTTTGCCTTCAAACTTCGAACTAAGCGGGGGGAGAGGGAGAGTGGTGACTCCGAGGCTAGGAAGGAGGTCTGGAGTTGGGGCAAAGTGTACCAAGCCCGCTTGAAGCGGGAACATCAGGCTCGATTTATCAGGCGTTTCTTGGCACGCTTGGAACCACAAGGTTCGGGGCAGTCAGCTCAGTTTGCCGAAGCAGGTTGTGGTCGACGCGCCGCGACAGATTGACGGGTATTGCCGAGCCTCGAGGGGCAAAGAAAGCGCGAGAACGGCGCTAGGTATGAAGGGGGAAGGCTGAACCAAACTCCCGAGCCGAGAGCTTGATGTTGCAGCGCTCTGGATGACGTTCGGAAGTCCCAGAAATCACTTATGTTTGACGTTCGGGAGCTCGACAAATCAGGAGACACCATCAGAGCTAAAAACCGATTTTCGCCAAAGCGTCGTCATAGTGTCGTAACCACTGGCGTAGAGGAGAAAACCGTCGCAGCGAATCACCTGTCAAGGATATCCCCTCACGTCCGCACAGCCTGTGTGGCTCGTTGGCTCCATACCTCCCTGATCAAGTTGCTCGTGTTCTCGAGTCGCCTCGCTTTGGCAGGGCCAAAGGGCGGCGGAAGATTGCTCATTATGGCATGGCTCGATTCCGAGAGGTTTAAAAAAACGTCCTAGAGCAAGCTGGAATATTCTTGAATCAATTACTTAACACAAAACAGGTGGACCGTACGACAGTATTCAAAGAAGCGTTCTACTTAAGTGCTATCCGTAAATAACAGTGGACAGACACACAGGCTACTGCTATCTTCATCCAATGTCGGAAACCACCTATCATGTGATTTGACATGCAACTGTGAGGTTTTGAACTTCGCAAAAACAGTGCGGGCACTCAAGATGACTCATGCCCTTAGGATGCTTCACGGGAAACCTCGAACCGCGTGGGGGTGTCAATCTGAGAGAGAACCGTGAGTCCCGAGACAAGAATCATGAGCATCACAATGCCCTGGAAACAAAGACCAAAACACACAGCAGAGTGTTGGAAATACAACACAGAGCACAGAACATACCGCATGTCAAATAAAACCAGTCAAGCAATTTTCTAACAAGGAAATGTGGTTCAGGCCAGGGGGATAATGCGGCATAACCTGGGAAACGAAACGGCTCCGAGAGACAGGACAACTCACTGCAAAAATGCCCTCAAGCAGAGCAGTGCGAGTCTTGCACGTCGGCCCACACTTGTTCTTCGCGACTACCACATCCCCAGCCACATCCTGCCCCTCCACGCCCTCCCCACCAGCACCAGCACCGGCACCAACACCGGCACCGACACCAGCTGCATCAAAGCCAGCAGCACCGACACCTGCAGCGCCAGCATCAGCAGCACCTGTACCGGCAGCAGCATAGTCATCAGCAGCTGCGAGCAGGCGGCGCTGTGCACCCAGATACGAGTCAGGGAGTGCGGTGTAGAAGAGGGCGTAGTTGGGGGTGATCAACTTGACGAGGGACGCCAGAGTGGCGAGCTCAGCAGCTGCATGGCAGAGGGATGAGAAAGGAAAGGGGAGACGTTGCATTCGAGATGCCTGTGAAAGAGAAAGTAGCAAAAGGTGGAGGTGAGTGCGAGGTGTTTAAAATACGGCTTTTATGAGGAGAAGGAAGAGAGCAAAGAGAGGGGTGATTGGGGAGAGAAGAGGTGGGGTGGTGGTGAAGGAGAGAAGTGGCGGGGAAAGAGGGCGCTTCAGAACTAGGGGGGCTGGTGAACGTAGGGATAGGCTCTCACTTTCAGCAGCGACGGCGTCATCGTGTGACTTGGTGTCCACAGCCGCATCCGAGCAGTACAGCACCATGTCCAGCTCCCTGGCCGCCCTCTCGTGGGCACGCGCATTCAGAAGGTCCTGCAAGACAGGAGAACCGAGCATAGAGAGGGCATAACACACAGGCATCATTGTGTGACTCGGTCTCTTCAGTGGCATCCGCACAGTACAGCACCATGTCCAGCTCCCTGCCCGCCCTCACGCTTGTGCAGGCATTCAGAAGGTCCTGAAGGCGGGAAGAAGGGAGCACAGCAACAGCATCCAACAGCATTGCCGTGCGAGTCGGTGTCCAGCACAATCGCATCCGAGCAGTACGGCACCATGTCCAGCACGCTGGCCTCTCTCTCGTGGGCACGCGCAGGGAGGGGAGGCCAGTACTTCCATCTTGAGAGAGCAACGATCATTGAGAGAGGATTTATCCCCCATGCGATGGTCACCGACTTGGGAGACGGGTCCACAGGAGTCACTGACAGCAGCCTCCGCCGCATACGCCAGCGAGGAGAAGGTGGCGAGCAGGGAGTGTCCTCCTCCTCCTCCTGTCTACCGTTATCAGTCCCCACCTTGAGAGAGAGAGAGAGAGAATGAGAGAGAGAGAGAGAGAGAGAGAGAGAGAGAGAGAGAGAGAGAGAGAGAGAGAGAGAGAGAGAGAGAGAGAGAGAGAGAAGCCTCGAGGGACGCCTCATCGTTAAAGAGGTGGAGACCCGCACGGGGGGCAGGCCCACAGGAATCAGAACCTCGCACCACCAGGCAGGCACCTACCCAGTCACGGCCTCATTGGCAGCGCTCACACACCTTGAGGGAGGCCTCGTCTCCAAAACGGTGGAGGCCAGCACGGGGGGCAGGCCCGCAGGAGTCACTGACAGCAGCCTCCCCCGCATAGGCCAGCGAGGAGAAGGAGGCGAGCAGGGAGTCGAGCACGTGGGTCCTGTCAGCCAGGGTGAGCGGCTGCACGTAGGGGAAGACCTTGGAGGACGCTGACTGGGAGAGGAGCTCCTGAAGCAAGAGATAGTGGGCGAGGGAGGGTGGGAAGGGGGGAACCAGATGGAGAGAGGGAGTCCCGCATATGAGTCTTGGCAGCGAGGGTGAGACGCTGCTGACTGGGAGAGGAGCTCCTGAGATCGGGAGAGCGAAGCGAGGGGGCCGGAGGGGGCGAGGGAAGGGGGGGAGTGGGGAGGAAGCAGAGGGGGAGTCGAGCACGTGGGCATTGGCAGCGTGAGTGTTGCTAGGGGAAGACCTTGGAGGACGCTGATTGGGACAGGAATTCCCCCACTTACCCACGCCCCTCCCTTCCCCTCCCCACATCCCAAACGCCACCTCACACCCTACCCTTCCTCTCTTCCCAGCATCCCCTTATCCCCACCACCAAGCCCCTCGCTCTCCCCCACCCCATCCCCCGCCTTCCACGCTGTTATTAGTGCACCTTCAGAGGCTTGACGGATCCAGCGGGAGAGGAAAGGTCAGTGGTTCGAATCTGCAAAACAGCACGAGCGAAAGAATACGTTCGCACGATGCACAATCAACGAGTGGTAACGATACACAAGCTCAGCCCGGAACCGAAAGTGAACCGGGTTAAGGAGACAAAGTAGGAATCGGAGAAGAATGAAGACGAAGGAAATGAACAAGATCGAGGGGCTGGAGAATAACACATAGAAAGAAAGAACTCACCTCCCTGCCCAGGAAAACTTTTGAGTCGACTCAAAAGTCAACTTCAACTCACCTCCTTGCCCAAAAAAACGAGGACCACTCCAGGCCTCTCCTCGGCGAAAGATGAGAAGATCGAATCCTGGGGTCAACGGGAGGAGAAAGTGCACGGGAGCGCAGGGGTTTCACAGACGGCACCAAATCGAAAATTTTCCCGTGCGAAGTAAACATGAACTGGCATTTCGATGTGACTTCAATGGCCATAAGTGTGGAGTCTAGTGCGCTCAGAAGTCCGCATTGAGTTGGAATACGGAAATGAAAAATAGAACAAGTGCACAATAATGACAGGACATGTCAAGCGGCTAACGAGGTTGCAATGGAGACGAAAATAGGTCATTGTGCCAGGCGATGCGGAAAACTCAGGGCAGGTGATAATATCATAGAAGTGATTGAGTGATTTAGAAAACGCTACACTTGGATCGTGGTAATGACAGACTAATCCACAGCACGGCCAGCAGGAATGGATCTAGCGGGATCAGGACCTAACTTCGAGACGCGGTGATCTTACATCGCGAGAAGGGTCGAACAAGAGGGAAGGAAGAGCGGATCCTTCAACTGACTCGTAGCTGACAGCATCCGTCGGATCTGACAACCTGCGAAACCCTAGAAGTTAGTCGAGTGGACTGTAACAGCGACGCAATAAAAGAAGGCCTATAAAAGGTGATCCTGTTAAAATAAAGGCGCATTGAGAATGCTAGATGGCTCTTAAGTAAGGTACCTGACGCTGGAGCTGAAAATGGCAGGCACAGCTGCAAGGCTAGGGAGAGCCAAGCAAGCCAGAATGGTCACAACGGCGAACAGCCCATGCAACACCTTACACCCAGCCATCGCTTTCTGAAGCTACTCCTTCCGAAACAAACAACTGCTCGAAGGAGATAGCAAGCGATATCGATCCTACGCTCGGACGGAACAGCACGAGGCCTGCGGAAATCCCTATATTATGGCTCCTCTAGTTACTGGAATCTCCTAGTTCCTGTTCTTTCTATCTCACATATGTACCCTCCACTAGTTTGTTTTCTGCCCATTTTCCCCCTCCCAGCCTAAAGCTCAGCTGGATGGTTTCAGGCGGCATTTCCCGTGCCAACACACCACCTTGCGGCTGGCAAAACTCAGCACTCGCACAGTAACACCCCCACATGATTTCGCAAAACCAGCACACCTTGCGGCTGGCGAAAACCAGTACTTGCAAATGGCATTTCCGTGACTCATCTGCGAGCTTCAGAGGTGCTCACGACGAACTTCAACTCCTTATCCAGCTTCGTGAATGAGTAGTTACCCTAGCGTTCTGTTACGACTTTCGCAAAGAAACGAATCTCGATGGAGACCCCATTGAGATTGTCAGATTTTCATCAGCAAGCCAATCAGCGAGCGCCAAAGACCAATGGCCAAACTGCAACCAGCAGGGAAGGGCAAAAAGAGGGAGGAAAGCGAAATGGGGTTTCCCAGGCCCGATGGAGAGGGCTGACCACGCGTCACCACCCGCTAATCCGTAGTACCAGATGATAACAAATATGTAACGTTTAAAACCGTATATTATCACGCTTTAAGTCCCTGAACCAGCCTCAGGGGCAGGGGGTAACCAAACCAGCGCAAGCTGCGTCTGCACCCTATGTCTAGGTTTTACCGTTCCTAATCCATGGCTCCCCCACAGGTTCACCGTCTCCCAACCTCAACCTACATGCGCGTTGCCTCTTCCTGGAGGTCTCCACTTCCCTCGTCCCTGCCACTAGCCAAAAGCTTTTCTCGAAGTTCCGTATTGCGGCCAGCTGCGGTCAGATCCTTCGTCCGATCTTCTTCGCCTCCGTCGTCGTTGACGTCGTCCACCATTTCGTCGTCCCTTTCGCGATCCTCGCCGCGACTATCGCTCTTCGCGAAATTCTCATCGTTTTCGTCGTCCCGGTCTTCGCCAGTCATGGCTGCGGCTCCGTGCGTACAAGCGCTGGAGCAACGCCTTCCCACTTCACCAGTCAGCCTGCCTTTCTCGTCGCTCCATCTTCACGCCGACGGCCGGCCGAGAAACCGCTGTAGGGTCAAGCTCAGCGACGAAGCGGCGTACTTCCACCCGCTGACGGCTAGCCGTCAAGCTTACACCGGCGTGACGGTTTGCGCTGCCGGAGGAGGCGGAGCGGCGATCCCGACAAGCGATCTACCGCCGGAGGAGAAGCAGAAGGAGACGGCCAGGGATAGCGGGGATGGTGCAGGAACGAACGGGGGATTAACAGGAGATTCGAAGGAGGGGAAGAAGGAGGAGGAGGTGATGACGCTGCCGACTATGCTGACGATCGCTCGCGTCGTCGCAGTTCCAGCCATAATTCCTGGTATGTTTAGCGCCTCCCAGTATGTTTAGTGCTTCCCAGCATGTTTAGTGCTTCCCAGCATGTTTCGTGCTTCCCAGCATGTTTCGTGCTTCCCAGCATGTTTCGTGCTTCCCGGTATGTTTCCCGATCCCTAGTAAGTTTACTTTGCTGGTGTACGTCGTGATGCTGACGTCCGGTTGCATGTGTGTTACCAGTGCCAGCGACGCTGGTGCTTGTATGGTGAAAATGCTGCTGCTAGTCAGGTTGTTTAGGTTCGGGCAGTTTCGGACAACAACTCTTGCTACAGCCAGAACGCTGCTGACCCTTTCTCGTTTTTTCCCTTCGATCCTTCCGTTGCCTGGCACTATCACCAAATTCGTCCCTGTCCATGCATTCGTGAATTCACTGTTTTCCAGCTTTCTTCTTCACTCCGGGAATTGCTACCACAATTTTTATCATGGCCTCAATCACTGATTGGCTGGATGGTTACCTCGCTCGGAAGGTGCGTTACATGGATACTGTATTGCTTGCGTCCGCTGCTCGCACTGCTCGCTTCGCAGGTTGGTGCATCCCTACATCACCCTGCTTTCTCTCCCCGTCCCCCCTTCCCCCAGGATTTTTCTTTCCCACTCTCACCCTCTCTTTCTCACATATCGCACACTCGCTCTTGCTCGTGTTGTCTCCCTTCTCCTGCCGTTGCTGTCGAATTGCAGATGAATTGCAGCTCCACATTTGGTGCATTTCTGGATCCTGTGGCAGATAAAGTGAGTTGTGAATCATTCATGAACATATGCACATTTACACTTACACGCACATGCACATGCACATGCACATGCACACGCACATGCACATGCACACGCACACGCATATGCACACGCACATGCACACGCACATGCACACGCACATGCACACGCACATGCACACCAGCACATTTCAGATGGATTGCAGCTCCACGTTTGGTGCATTTCTGGATCCTGTGGCAGATGAAGTGAGTTGTGAATCATGCATGAACATGTGCACACTTACACGCACATGCACATGCACATGCACACGCACATGCACACTTACACACACGCACATGCGCACCAGCTCGTTTCAGATGAAATGCAGCTACACATTTGCTGCCTTTGTGGATCCTGTGGCAGATAAAAGTGAGTCATCATTCATGCATCATGGGATACATAACCCATCAGCATTCACACACACCCATGACAGAGCGATTCAGAAGGAACCTATTCATCACCAGAGATCTATTCATCACCAGAGATCTATTCATAATTTTCAATGGACGCAGACCCCATTAACACTCACACAGACCGGCCAAAAAGTGTACATCCATCGAAAGAATCTGTTCATCACCGTCGCATGTCCTTGAATACACATCCACTCCCTCCCACAATCCCTCTCTCTATTACAAGCACTTTCCTTTTTGCTTGTGCCGTTCTGTAACTGATGGTTACCCTTCTATCTTCCTACTATGTACCCCAACCACCCCCCCCCCCTTCCCCCCGTCCGCCCTTTTTCTCCTAACAAATGCTTACATTAGGAGCGCATGGTCACTGAAGTGCTCGTCTTCTCTGCATGGAAGTACACAATGGCCTTCCTTCACGCCCTCTATATTTATTTCTATCCTCTTCCCCCGCCTCCCCCCTGCCTTCCCCACTGACAGCTCATGGTAGCAGCAGTGCTCGTCCTTCTCTGCACAGAACCTGCCCCAACTATCGCCTTCCTGCCATGGGCCCTCCCCTCCTGGACCATCGCTCTCCCCGCCATCGCCATGATTGGCCGAGAGATCGCCATGTCAGCGGTCCGGGAATGGGCGGCGGGGGAGGGGGAGAAGCTGAGGAAGGTGGTGGCAGTTAGCGGATACGGCAAATGGAAAACAGCCACTCAGATGGTTGCAATTACAATATTGCTTGCCATCAGGTCGCCCATGTGAGTATGCTGTACAGCTCATTCCTTTCTCTGGTGTATGTCTTTTAGCCAACCATGTGCGCGCAATAGAAAGTGTCGTTAGAAGCTTCGTTACAGGTTCTTTTGGTGATTGTTCTCCCCAGTAGCATACATCCAAGGTTTCATACCCCTGCTGGAGTTCTTTGTGTCGCCTTCCCTATGGCTGCAGGTTACAATTACCCGTAGTTGGACCTCTGATTGGTACATCAGGGGTGGTGCTTTTGTACACGTCTGCAGTTCTTGCCGTTGCCTCATTCGCCATATACATCCGTTCTATTGCTGGAGCTCTTCGCAAGTTGTAACTTGTAACCATCTGCCATCAAAGGCCAGATAGAAGACCCCCAGCTCTTATCTCATACTGCCCTTAAGTAAAGAGTTGCTCATATCAAAACGCCTGAAAGATGTCTTCAATGGCAATCCCAAATATGAGATAGATGCCTAATAAAAGACCCTACTCCATGGGTACATTTTCATCTCGCCAAATGTTGTGGTGGATTGCTCCGTTGCTGTGTTTGGGTGCTTCTGGGGAAACACGCACACGCACTAACGGGGTGAATGCACGCCTCCTTGAAATATGAAGGGCCAGGCGTCCTTGAAATTTTCAGGCTGCGTGAGGTTGTCCTGTGCATTTCCCACACTCGTTTAGCATGATGAAACTCCAGGACCCTGTGCCGCAACCCAAGGTGAGGGAGCCCAAAAAATTTCTGCAAGTGAATTGTGGGTTGTGTGGTGAAGTAGCGTCCACGCCAGGTAATGTTCTGTACTTGTACACCCACTGTAGCCTCTTTTGGCGATGACAGATAAGGCTATTCAATCTGCATCCACAGATTCACAGTCAGCTCGAATTGCATTTTGTTTCACCTCGGGCGACGCTAAATTTTCTTCGATTGCTGCTCCGAAAAATCACCCACCAGCGCAGCTGCGCTGGCACCACTGCTGCCAAATTGGCAAGAATCAACTGCCTTGAGAAATCATTGTAAGATTCCAAACCCTGCTTCACATGTTTGTCGTCTGTGGCGGCCCTCGACAGTGCAGGTACTAGACGAATGAGCCACATATTTTCTGGAATAGCGGTAACATATCCGTGGAAGTAGAAGTATAGTTAAACAGCAACAAGCGTGTGACAATACTGTATGAAAATGGATATGTTGATATTGGCATGGAATAGCCCTTGCCACAGTACGTACCAACGTTTTCGAACTCGGGGAAGGGAACTGAAAGGTACGCTCTCGTCCGAAATCGGATTTCTGCTTCCCTGAAATCTGGATCAAACCTGTACACACACATCCATGCTTCCCCGTCGAACCCCCCAAACCAAACGTCCAGCAAGGCTTCTCGTTACCCGTCCACCACAGTCCCATCTTGCCAAGGTGCACAACAGGGAGACGCTCCTTCTGACGAAACTTCAAGTCATTTTCGCCACAGTGGCGCTGTACTGTAACTGTGGGGTTGTTTTTGGACTTCCGGGCCGTGTCTACTCTATTTTCGAACTTCCTGGGCACTATGCCAGCTAAATTCAAGTCTGTGAAAATAGAGTCGGAGTTCGGGCAATGTTGTGCTACCCTGAAGCTAGTCGTTAGCTCGTAGGGGAATGGAATCCTGTGCTGGATAGTCCATTCCCAAGACGGAAGCGCCTGATTCGAAGCAGCTTCTAGTCTTCCTGCTTGAAACCCAGATTTTAGTCTTCCTGCTTGAACCGTGACCATACGGGTGTGGATAATTTAGATCCTGAAACTTGGGGTATCGTTCCCGTGGACCTAGTGATGGGGCTGAGAAGGAGATGTCTCCCCAACTTCCCCCCGACTTCCAGTTCGTCCTGTAGGTCTGGCGGTAGAGATCTGTTTGTTTGTGGGTGGATGCGAGGGGAAGGGGTTTTTAGGTTACCGGTAACCCTTACTAGCTTTTTACTTTTTGGGATCACGTGTAGCCCCTATTACGGAAGGGTTTCTCGCCGATCAAACCCCCCAGGGACAGTTTTTTGTTCTTCGAGGTTAGTTCTCTCCACAGCGAACCACGTGTAACAATCTCCTTAATCTTGGGCAGAGGGCAGAAACAATAAAACCCTTATGGGCCTGGCATGGCATTCTGGATGGCATCAACCCTAAACTCGAAAAAGGGCCACGAATTTAGGGTTGATGCCAACCAGAATGGCATACTCGCCCCTGTGGGTTTTAGTTTTTTTCTTGCCAGCTAGCCTGCCCGAATGTTTTCAGCCATTTTCAGTAGCGCTACAGATCCCACAATATCGCAGGAAAACAGAGTTCAGTAGCCCCAAAGTGACGGAGCAAGGAGATTGTGACGCGTGGTTTTCTGTGGTGCGAACTAACCTCAAAGAACAAAAAATTGGCCCGGGAGGGTTGGAACAATGAAAAACCCTTCCGTGAAAGGGCTAAATGTTACTCGAAAGAGTAAAACTCCAGTAAGGGTTACCGCTAACCTAAAAACCCGAGGGGAAGAGGTGGGGGGTTGAGGGGAGGGGAGGGGAAGCAAGCAATTGCCAACGCTGGACGAGGATGTTGAGGACGTGGTGAAATCACTGAAAATTCCAGAGCATCGACCGGGCACGGTACGAGGCCACACGACTGACAGCTTGCCAGTGCACCGAGCCAGGCTGGTGGGCTGCCAGCCCGGCACAGAGGTCGAAAGCCCTGGGAAATTGAGGGTCTGGTCCAATACGTTTCAAGAAACTCACGCGAAATGCAAACCATCGCGAATGTACTGGGTTGCCAAGTGCTCCGAAAACAGGGAAACCAACATCGCACACTAATTTCTCGAAATCACGACACACAAACCCAGGCGTCACCTTTTCCCCGCTGCTGGTTTTTTGGCTAGGGAACATGCGTGTGATCTTCACAGAAATTCTACGGCGAAGAACTTTTGGTGGACGGGTGGTTACTGACGTCGCGAGAGTTACTCTATTCTGTATTGAATTCGCCTTGTTCGCGAGGTTGGCACACTGTGGGGCACGCTTTGGCATGCGTCCCCAAGTGTTGGCACGAGACAGTGCATCGACCACCATTGGGCCGTGCCAGGACGAGCCAAGGCACGGAGCATTTCCGTTATTTGTCAGCCTGGCGTGGCAGCTGGCGATGCATCTTCTCGGAACGCAAAGTTTTATCACCAGGTACTGAGGGGGGACGGGCTGTGTGGTTGGGGGGGTGGCTGTCATTCACAGGGGAGGGGACCAATGTGTGGTTGCACAGTAACCGACTTGTACAGTTACAGTACTAGTGAGTGGCTGGGACGATGCGTCCCTAGCATTCCCTGGAAATGTTTGTCCTTTTCATCCGAGAACCACAACTCATCATTACCACCTGATGACACTGTGTTGCTTGGCTTGACGGGATGTGACATTGGGTTCTGTCGGGGAGGTCGGTTCGGGAGGGAGGGACTCGGGGCGACTCGGGACTTGCTTGCACCTAAAGCTTGGCCTGTGCCCCAGACCAGGCATTGCTGCTGCTACTTCCACACAACCGCCTTTCACCCACCTCCCATATCCATCCTTTCTGCCCCCCAGCTCCCATCCAGTAGTGATTGCATAGCATACAAACAAGGACGCAGTACAGAACTGTACTGTTCTGTTCTGGGCAACAGTCCCTCCTCACCTCTGGTTCACGCATGTTCCTTCCACAGTAATCCAGTCTCAGTGTGCTTGAGGTCGCCTGGATGTTCTCTCGTGCGCAATTCGTTTGCGAACGTCCTTCCTTGCGCAAACCTCGTCCGCCTTTCTTCTCCATCGTTGGCTGTCCGTCCATCAATCGCCATTCTATTTCAGCTCCTCAACATCCCTGGTTATTTATTTTCATTTCCAACAAGCTAGCAGCTCTCTGTGCAGGAACGAATGAGCTTTTTCCTGCAGCCTAGTGCTTTTGTTTCTCGCTAAGTTCGACAGGCGAAACGAATGGATCGCGCAACTGGTTACATGGCAGACGATTCTCTCCCTTTCGCCGCTGGCCGTTTTTACGGCGCAAAGGCCGCTGTACCCGACGCAACCCGCGTCTTTACGTCGAGTTGCGACGTCGCGGAGCTGCGGAGCCGAGGGGAGACTTCTGCGCGCGCGGAAACTTGCGCTTGCGCGGATAATTCCGCGCACGACGATCATGCGGCGTGGAACGTTGCGGAGTCAGACCTGGAGGCTGTCTGCTCCATGGATCGCTCGTTTTCGCACAGGCGACGATTCGCTTGCGACGGCGTCGCAGGGAATTCGCACGGCGATGTGGGCGACTGGGAGGACGACGGGATGACGGAAAGCGACGAAGGCGTCGACGAGAGCGTGTGCGACACCGCATGCAGCAGGCCTTGCCAAGGAAACGCGGAGGATAGCAGCTGGGATAGCCACGATCCGATCGAGCGGGCAGAGACAAACATTTTCGCGTTGGAGATGATGAGGGCCGAAGCCATCCGGATTTTGTCCCGGGCACAATCGCAAGGAATTCTGCCCGCGATTCTTTCTCCGGAGGAACAATCGGCGCTCGTCGCGATGCTCTTAAAGCCCGTCAGCGACTCCGTCGTCCCGCACGCCGCTTCCCTCTCGCGGACCCTCAGCGGCGTCAGCTCTTATGCGACCGCGGTTTGCGCGACTGCGGCTTGCGACACCGTCGCTTTCGCCCCCGCGACTCGCGCGACTGCGGCTGAGACGGCATCGGCGTGTCGCCTAGCGACGTCTGTAGTCGAGAGGGTCGTAGAGTCGTCGCATGTTTCCGGCGAATCCGGCGCCAGTTGCGGAGCCGCATTCACGGACCCTTATCTCGGACTCGGCCCCGCGCTTGACGCGGAAATCGCGGCCATGGCTTCCGACGAGCTGGAGGTTCTCGACATGGATATTATTCTGGAGTTAGATGAGGTAGTCTCTGGTACACTAACCCACGCCTGAGCTCTTCGGATCGGGTTTCGGGAATCGAGCCAGATGTTTTTGTCTTCGGGGATTTTTGCCAGTAGGATGCCGCGCCGCTCGCACCCCATCGAAGACTCGTCCTCGTCCGTTGAGACATGATACATGGCGACTACGCATAGCTAGGCCTCTGGCTGACCCTCTGCATAGCTTCCACATCGCCCCCCCCATCAGTTGCTCACCCTGATTTGTTGGAACATGTTAGCTTGTAATATCTCCATGTGTATGGGTGCTTATAAGGAGTTTTCTATTATTTAGCGAGCAACACCGCTACCGCTTACACTTACCGGCACATACCATAAATCCGCCCAGTAAGAAGAATCCCTATTTGGAACATGGAGTACAATTCAGGTTCAAATTACGTTCTAGACCCCAAAACTACACCCGGTGCCGCTCTCAAACTGAAAGAACGACTAGAATGTGAATACAAGGCATTATAACCTAGCGGACTGTACTCTCTAAGGCACAACCCTACATGGTCTACAACATCACACACAAATGTGTTTGACACACCCCCTAGACTGGATAGGGGCAGTGCCTGTTGAGAGACAAGCAGCTCAAGGTGGCACTACTAGTCCAACCTCTGAGGCAAGGGTCTAAAGACCAGTCAAACAAGTACAAACCAAGGCAAGACCAAGACCAGGGTGGCACTACTAGTCTAGCCACTGGGAGAGGTCACAAGGCCAATCAGGGTAAAATATATATGAAGGTCTGTACATAATCAAGGCCCTATCAAGTGAAAGGCAACATGAACGAGACCTAGCTGTACACAGTGGCGCTGATGATCTTTAGACGCAAGCGCCTTCGTAAAGATATCAGCTATGTTGGCACTGGAGGCCAAGTGTACCGTATTAGCCTGGATATAAGGCCCATGGGTCTTATCACATACCGTTTAGAAATATTCAAAATGGTCCTGGATCCAGGGGAAAAAAATCAAGTTACCACAAGATACGCGCTTAATAGAAGACCCAGGGTCTTCTAAAACTAGGGGGTCTTATATCCGGGCTTTTACGGTACTACGCGAGCCTGGCGGCGCTGCTGTAGCTCGCTCAGGAGGAAGTACCGCAGTTGGATGTGCTTCGCTCTGCCCTCAAGTCTAGGCTCCTGACGCAGGAGGATCATGGCCCTGTTGTCAGCGCACAGGACCGGGTCAGAGCTAGGCTGCTCACCTAAGTCAGTGAGCAAGAAGGTCAGCCAGCGAAGCTCATGCGTGGAGGAGAACTGAAAACCAAACCTCTGAAAGGACCTGGCGCACCAAGTGTGACTGTGAGAGCGTGATGGTGTACGCTGCTCTGTCCCTGGAGATCTGCAGGCCAATGTAGTGGCGCAGTTCTCCTAGGTCAGTGCAGGTGTGTCTCTTCAGCAGCTCTGCCTTCACGGAGGCCAGTACGTCCCTGTCTGTAGTAGCGAAGACCAGATCGTCTACGTAAACAAGGATGTAGAACGGGGTGTGGCCAGCACGAACGAAGAGCGAGGGGTCTGAAGAAGATGAAAAGAACTGCAGGTCAGCAAGGGTAGCACGCAGTGTGTCGTGCCACTCACGGGGGCGCCAGTCGCAAGCCGTAGTCTGGGCGCCCCAGTAGCCACTGGGTCCCAGGAGGGAAGGTACTAGTGAAGCCCTGAGGGCGGCGCAGGTAGACCTGCTCGTGTAGGCTGCCCTGAAGAAAAGTAGTGAAGTCGAAGGAGTGTAACTCATAGTCACGCTGTGCTGCTACGTGTAGCAGCGCCCGAAGAGTAGTCATCTTCGGGGTCGGGGCGAAGGTCTGAATGAAAACCACCCCCTCACGCCGACTGAAGCCTCTAGCCACGTAGCGCGCCTTGAATACAGGCGGCTCTCCAGGGGTGCGCTTCACCTTGAAGAGCCAGCGGCCATCGACTACGTTCACCCCAGGTAGGGGAACTGCGTCGACGTAGGTGCTGGTGGATCTCCAAGATGCCATCTCCTGCTCCATGGCAGCTATCCACTGGGGTGCGAGGGGTCGGGATGTCGAAAGCGTCTGGGTCACCCTCAGGGACTAGCAGCATGAAACAGAGATGGGGAGCAGCCTCGGAAAGGAAAGCAAGCTCGTACTGCCGGTCCTCCAGGACGTCACTGCCGAGGGCAGGAGCACCCCCGACGGACGGAGGATGAGCAGGGTCAGAGACCAGAGCAGTTGCGTAGTCAAGGTGGCGGGTAGAGGCGAAGTCAGCGACCGCATCTACAAGAGCGTCAAGACGCGAAATAGGAACAGACGGGTCGGTAACGAGAGAGGCAAGGACCCGATGAACAAGAGGACGAGCGGCACGAAGGTAGTCAGACAGAGGGGGAGGTGCAACAACAAGGGAGAACGGAGGAGGCGACGGCAGGAGGGGAGGACGAGACTCGTGGGAACGGAGCAACATAGGGTGAGAGCACGGAACAGGAGAGACAGGACGAGCACGAGAGGGACGGCGGGACCAGACGTGAGACAGTGGTGTCGGGTAAGGAGACAGAGGAGGAGACACAGAAGGAGAACGCGTGGGAAGACGAGCCGGAGACGAGTCCGGAGGAGGGAATACGGGGCCGTAGACAGGAAGGGGAGCAGACGGCAGAGGAGGCACAGACGCGCGGTCAGGGGACGGAAGGCCAAGCAGGTGAAGGGCTGAGACCGGCGGCGACTGCTGCTGCGGCGGCACGATGGTGACACCAGGACCGCCAGCTGCTCCACGGCCAACTTCGAAGCACTCCAATCCAGCACCCCCAGAACCAAGAACCTCTCCAGTACCGGTACCACCCCCAGGCCCGCTGGGACAAGCCACGACAGGAACCTCAGGACGAGCACCCTCCTCAACACCAACACCCCCAGGGTCGACGAACTGCTGCAACTGCGGCTGCGACGACGTCCGCGGCGACTGCGGCTGCGACAACGGCTGCGGCGGTGGCGGCACCTGCGACGACTGCGGTTGCGAAAACGGAGAAGGAGCCACCAGGGGAGGGGCGGGTGGCGGGGACTGCGCCGCAGTGCCATTTGAGTCAGCAGACTCCTCGACCGGGACAACCGACGGGAGGGGGGTGACGTGAGACACTCCAGACGGGGGAGGGCCGGGAGGGGGAGGAGCAGGGGCGACCAGGAAAGGGGGAACCAGGAACATGGGGGGAGTAACCGGGGGATCACACTGGGAAAAGCGGTGGTAGATGGAGACGGACTCGTCAAAGGTAACGTCGCAAGAGTGAAAGAAACGGTGAGACGGCGGGTGGTAGAAGTGCCAGTCAGACGAGTCGAGGGAACCGAGGAAGACACAGGGGACGGTGGGGGCAGTGAGCTTGTCCGTGCCAGAGGCAGAAACGTGATCAAGGCAGCCCCAGACGTGGAACGCAGACGCGTCACCAGGGGACCCGGTCCAGAGGAGGGTCGGCGAAACCTGCGACAGCTGAGGGTGCGGCTAGAGGTTAAGCTGGTGAGCGGCGTAGCGAACGGGGAACGGCCACATAAAATGGGGTGCACCGGCTGGATCATGGAGGTACGAGCCACCTCCATGACCAAACCGATGCGTCGCTCCGCGACCCCATTCTGCTGTGGGGAGTCCGGTAGGGTGAACGTCTGGGTGATGCCCTCCGCACGACAGAAACGACCAAGGACGCCGACGGCAAACTCGTCACCACGGTTGGAGTGAAGACGCAAGACAGGGAGACCGCGGTGCACACGTGCAGAGACCAGCCACGGGATAAGAGCGTCAGGCAGGTCGGCCTTCCGCTCTAGGGGAAAAACTGTGGTGTAGCGCGTGTAGTCGTCGACAAGCACAAGGAAGTAGCGCTCTCGACGCGTCCCATGGACGGGGGCAAGGCCCCAGACGCCATGTGCAGGGTTTGTAGGGGTGCGGCGGTGGGGGGGAACGAGGAGGAGTGAGGGGCACGGCAGAGCCGGCCCTCGATGCAGGGCGTGCACGGCGGCGCTGGGGAGGACGGCAACTCGGGGAACGACTTTGGGAGACCTAGGACAAGGCCGTGCTGAGACATGTGACACAGGCGCGGGAGCGCGGGGTGACCTAGACGATGGTGCCACAGAAGTGTCGGGTGAGTAAGCGACTGACAAGAGCAGGCCGCAGCAACCTGGGTAGACGCAGCCGCCTGGGGAGATGTTCCAACGGGGGGGGGGGGGGGTGGGGGGGGGGCGCGGTGTCCAGCGTGAACAGGCCAGACACCGGGTCCTCGGGGAATGTGGTGAGGGGAGCACCAGTGGCGGCCTCGGTACAGACAGCGTACCGCTCATGACCAGGGAACACAGTGGTGATGCCAAGGTCCTGGAGGCAGCCGATACCAACTAGGTTCCTAGAGAACGAGGGGATGTGCAGGGAAGGGTGGTGGAGCTATGGGCGACTACCGAACATGAGGAGGGGTCGGCAAGGGAAACTGCGGCAGGAGCGGCAAGCGGCGTCAGCGTAGTGGAGTCGCGAAAGAAACACCGGGAAGCGCCAGTGTCTAGGGTAAAGGAGAGCACAGCAGTGGCGGCGGGGGTCGGAGTGGCGAGGGAGAAGCCAAGACTAAACAAGGCAGGGGATCCTACGCCTGGCGCAGTAGGGGAGGTTTGACTAGGCACACCTACACTAGGCAACAAGGGGTAGTAGGAACCATTCACACAAGGGTCATCGATATACAGCACATACCAAATAGAGCTAATCTCATCCATGTCCATACCAAAGATCTGAAAACTACGGCGAAGCAAGCTATGCCAGTCGGGGAGGTCGGGCGACGGGCCGAAGCGAAGACGAAACATGTCGTCTAGGCGATGAAAACTGCGGGCGCAGGTGTGACCGATCTTGCCGCACACGGAGCCGCGGGGAGGACCGGTCTAGAGCTGGTACTGACACCGCCCGTCACCCGAACTACCACCCGACGGCACACTACGCGCACGACCACCACGTCCACCGCCACCACTAGTACCAAGCCACCCAGGCGGGAGACCACCAATCCGCCACTGCTGTTGTTGCGGCTGCTTCTGCGGTGCCTGCTGCTGCGGCGTTTGCTGCTGCTGCTGATCTTGCTCCTCAAAAGCACCAGCCCCAGTCCCCTCATCCGTGCTACCAGCGGGCGGCCCAGCTCCACCACCTCCTCCACCCCCTCCTCCACTACTGCCGCCGCGCCCAGCCTTGGGGCGGCGACCCTTCCTCGGACGGACCTGCGCTGCGGCGGCTGTCGCCACAGCAAGCGCTGTCTCAGCGACAGCAGCAGAACCATCGGAGAAAGTACACTGAGCGGGGGCACAACCCTAAAAGATAGTGACCGATACTGTACCGCTAGA